AGTGGATGCGAGATTAATTATAATAATATTAAAATTGATTATTAAAATTAAAATAAAAGATTAGATATGTATTTAAATATAAAAATGATGATGACAATAAAATAAAATATCTTGATAGATAAAATAAATTTTATAATATATTTATATGTATAAATTTAACATATAATTGAAAATTAATAAAATGATTTTTATAGCAAATCATAATTTTGTTAAAAATTAATAATATATTTATACATTTTAAATTTAACAAAATAATTTTTATTTAAAAATATTAATATATTTATACTTCTTAAAATAAAACAACTAAAGGTCCGTTACGAATCGAACGGATCCTGACGCAATAAGATTGAATCAATTTTTGATGTTATCGTCCAATGCTTTGGCACATAGTTGAAACACATGTTGCAGCAGAGGAAAAGTAAACATGAAGAAGAAGAAGACATGGAAACACATCTATTCTCAAGCTTACTGATCTCTTTAATTCCCCCTGCCCTGCTAATCCACTAATGAACTGTCCAATAATGCTTAGGAAGGACGGAAAGAAAGGGAAAGCCAGATGAGCCTAAATTCATTCAACAATATTACAACAATATAAAATATAAAACAACTGTTTGGAGCACGACATAGGAAAATTTAACAAAAACTAAAGATTTTAATCTTATTATTCATTTTAAATTAAGTTGAACAACTAAAAAAGGAAAAAAAAAAACCATAGATAAAATTAATTACTTGGAGAAAGTAAATTCCATTACAAAAAGAATACCCAAACATAAAGAAATCAAAACCTGGATACTAATGGTTGAAAACATAAGCAGTTACATTAATTAATTTGTTAGAATCTTAGCCACTTGAACCTTAAACTTATTGGCTAATTGACCATGTGACCATCTCCCACGTCTCTAACCTTGATCATGGCAAAACCAAGCTTTGATTCCGGTCCGACGCGAAACGACCAAATCTGCACCACCGCCTTTGGCTTGAGACTATCGGCATTGTTCTTCACAATGTCATTCCACTCAGTCTTGAAAACATAAGCAGAGCAGTTCTTTCCGATGTCCCACTTGGTGAGATGCAACTTAGATACCTTAAGACATGGTTCTACGAATACAACATCTATTACTCCATTGTTCTTCACTTTTACCTCCTCAGTTTCACTCAAAAACTTAATCCTAACTTGTTTCAGAGTCATTGACAATCGATTTTGGGATGGGTTCAAATCAGTAACTTGTATAAACTTTTGTATAACCAGCTTTATTTCAGACCCACCCACGGTTTCAATCACATTCTTGAACGCTTCTGGCATGTCGGGAGGCGGTTCTAAACCTAATGCAGTAAGCTCAACCAATGTTCGATCGAGTTTCTGATTCTGGTTCTTCAGCTTCGGCTTCTGGGTGCTTTCATTGTTGCCTGTCTTGGGCTTCTTTTTGTTCCTGGTGATCAACTCTTCTTCTCCATCTTCAACACAAGTTTCTATTCCACTCCCAACGCAACGTTTGATACCCAGCTTTTTCTCGATGACCATCTTCTGTTTCTTCGTCCCTTTGGAATTTTCATTGGTTAAGCGATTTATAAACCCTTCCAACACAATCTCAGTTACTTTCCTCAGCCTCTGCCTTTCACTATTTGTCACTGATTCAACCTCCTCCATCAGTTTCTGCCATGAACCACCATCATCAACATTCTTTAAATCCCTTAACATCTTCTATATATATCTTTCTCAACTTCTTCGCCTTCAAAGAACTCAAGAACAAGATAGATTGAAGGAAATTACAAACGAACGAAATAAACACGATAGATTAAAGGGAAAAAGTGGTAGGTTTCCTGTTTGTATATATAGGGATGTTTTTGATTCCCAATCCTAACTGAAATTGAATTACTTGCAGAGATCATCAAGTAGCCTGGCAACAAAGTTTGATAGTCTTTTACTTTAAACGGGCAAGGGTTTTGCTGATTTTAAGTCGGTTTAAGATTTCTAGTTTCTAATAGCTTAATATAAGCTTAATATTAATGCATGTAATAAAATTAATCTATCCATCTATTAATTTTTTTGTTGTTTATTTAATCACACATTCTTTTTTAGAAATAGTATTACATATTTATTATTATTTTTTCAACGTGGTTGTATAATAATAATAATAATAATAATAATAATAATAATAATTTATTATTATTATTATTATTATTATTATTATTATTATTATTAAATCATCTCAAAGATATTAACCAAAAATAGTAGTATGAAAAAAAAATCATGTTAAAAATTGTTGCTTATTTTACATTTAAAAAATTAGAGTTCAAAGTTTCTGAAAGGAAAAAAAAGGAAAAGGAAATTATCAAAATTCATTTTACTATTTATTTTTATTTTTATTTTTTGTTAAAAGCTTGAATTAAATTTATTATTTGTAATAAATAATTAATTGAATAAAAATAAAATGAATAAAATAAATGAATTAATAAGTCAAATTTTATTATTTCAATTTAAAAAATCAATATTTTAACTTTATAGTTTTGACTCTAGGTTGTTATTTTTTTAAAAAAATATTTTTAAATTATTATTTTTGTCTTTTTCAATAAATAGAAGTTTTATTTATCTAAAAAAATATTTTAAAAAAACTTACTACCAAAAAATCATACATACATTCATTAACTATACATCACACGAATGAAATTGTACGAACAAATAAAGAATTTAAAAATGTGAATCCGAAATTTAATTTTATTGGTTTATGCAATTATTTTTAAAATGTAATATTTTTATTGTCTGAAATTTAAATTATAATATTTACAATCATTTTCTTTATTCTCATACCATATCCTCTTATACATAAAAAGTTTTTAAAGTGTTATTTATCAAAATAAAAAAACTTTGATAACTTAAATTTTATTTATTTAGAAAAACAATTCAAATTCAATTTTTTTAACAATAATAAAATACATGTATAAACATGATTAAAGAACTTTGCATCAATATTATTGTCATAAACTAATATCTCTTGTGTGTTTAAAATCTATCTAGAAGGTGAGGTTGTATCGACCATGGTTATTAATATTGTACGGAACAATATTTCGGTTTTAGAAAAAAAATAGTATATGTTGATATTAATTGTTTTACGACATTATTTTAGATTTTTTTATTTAATAGAAATACATTTATAATATATTTGGATTTTTATAGAATAATGCTACTAATAATATGTAAAATAAAGAAAGGGAAAGTGCTTATGATGTTTTCCAAGAATCAAGGATTCAAACTTGGCAAAGCTGTTGGCGGCAATTGAAGCTCTCACTATCGTGGTAAATACAAACATAGGTCAACGTCCAGACATCATAATCGAAAGTGACTCCAAAATCATCACATCATGGATCAGCAAAATCAGTGAATACTCTTAGAGGTAAAAGGATTTATTGAACAGGTTATTTAATCTTTTCGATAGGATTAAGAATATTATTTTTGTTCATGTCATCAGAGAAGCAAATCTTTTTGCAAACGCTTTAGCCAAGATGGGTGTTCACTGATCCTGTGATTTTGTAGTTCGGCTATAAATGTCACTTTCTTTATTATGAATAAAACTGTTTATTTCACTTTAAAAAATAATAATATGCAAAATAAATATACAATATTTTCAAATATCAAATAAATAATTTAAAATTTTATGAAATAATATCATCAATTTATCATGATAATTTAAACATTTAATCTGATCATATAATATTTAAATAGATATTTTTTATGTAAGAATATATTAAAATAAAAACAAATATATGAAAAAAATAAAATATTAAAATGAAAATAAAAAAATGAAAAAGAAAGTAACTTTAGCTTTAAAAGCCTTAAATCTTAAGGTTTGAAATAGATATAAACATTTGATTTGAAAAATCAAAATGTAAAACAAAGAGTTGCTCTAAAAAATAAGGAGACAGCTCAAGTTCAAACTTTTACAGGTTTTATTTTGTTCTTTAATTTTTATTAAGTTAAAAATAATAAACAAAAAACAAAAGATAAATCATAAAATTACAAATTATGCTTCACAGTCATTTTTTTTTCTCAGCCAAAACACATTTTATTTGTAGGGACCAAAGGTACATGTAACAGGTCAAGCATACTGCATTTACTGGCATCATCCTACGCCTGACATCATATTACAATTATTGAATACAAATACATTCTTCTATAAAGAAGCATAAAACGGAGTTGAAGAATCCATACCCATTCTAACCAGTGAATCTACAAAAGCATTAGCCTCCCTAAAAACATGCACAAAGCTCACCTGTCCTATTTTGTCTTCAAATGATCAATCTCCTACATCTCTTTCCACAGCTCCCACGATCAGTCTTTCCTATTTAGCATAGCATTAATAGCCTGTTTTGAGTCTGACTCAATAATTAAAGCTTGTCACCCCCACCCCCCCCTCCCCCCCATGTAGATGTGTATAAAATTTCCATTGCTGTTTTAATAGCTAAAATGCCAGCCCATATTGCCTCTGGTACTCGCAAGGGACCATAAAACATATCCCTTATCTTAACTTTCACAGTTATGTACTGATCGAGAATGGTTAATTTAGCGAAATTGGTCAAAATTACAAAAACATTCAGTATTAGTCAGTATCAAGTTGATCGGGATGAAAAAATACTTTTAAATATAATGTATTTTGATAAAATTGGAATGTACAGATCGATACAATCAATATCAAAATGAAATTAATAATATTGATATAAATGCATGCTTAAGTTTTTGTATATGCATGCTATTTTGGAGAAATCAAATTTCTTTTGAATGAAAAAATATATTTCGTCTAACATCATTTTCAGAACGAGGACTTAACAATACAATTTTTGTCATTAATTCATTACCTTAATGACTAAAGAGTTCTTAAAGACATAGAGATCTTAGTTTTGAACCAAGGTTTTCTTCCTTTCCCGTGAGTTATTTATTCACCGTTAAAGTTGAACAACTAAAAAAAGGAAAAAAAAACCATAGATAAAATTAATTACTTGGAGAAAGTAAATTCCATTACAAAAAGAATACCCAAACATAAAGAAATCTAAACCTGGATACTAATGGTTGAAAACATAAGCAGTTACATTAATTAATTTGTTAGAATCTTAGCCACTTGAACCTTAAATTCATTGGCTAATTGACCATGTGACCATCTCCCCCGTCTCTAACCTTGATCATGGCAAAACCAAGCTTTGATTCCGGTCCGACGCGAAACGACCAAATCTGCACCACCGCTTTTGGCTTGAGACTGTCGGCATTGTTCTTCACAATGTCATTCCACTCGGTCTTGAAAACATAAGCAGAGCAGGTCTTTCCGATGTCCCATTTGGTTAAGTGCAACTTAGATACCTTAAGACATGGTTCTACGAATACAACATCTATTACTCCATTGTTCTTCACTTTTTCCTCCTCAGTTTCACTCAAAAACTTAATCCTAACTTGTTTCACAGTCATTGACAAACGATTTTGGGATGGGTTCAAATCAGTAACTTGTATAAACTTTTGTATAACCAGCTTTATTTCAGACCCACCCACGGTTTCAATCACATTCTTGAACGCTTCTGGCATGTCGGGAGGCGGTTCTAAACCTAACGCAGTAAGCTCAACCAATGTTCGATCGGGTTTCTGATTCTGGTTCTTCAGCTTCGGCTTCTGGGTGTTTTCATTGTTGCCTGTCTTGGGCTTCTTTGTGTTCCTGGTGATCAACTCTTCTTCTCCATCTTCAACACAAGTTTCCATTCCAGTCCCGACGCAACGTTTGGTACCCAGCTTTTTCTCAATGATCATCTTCTGTTTCTTCGTCCCTTTGGTATTTCCATTGGTTAAGCGATTTATAAACCCTTCCAACACAATCTCAGTTAGTTTCCTCAGCCTCTGCCTTTCACTATTTGTTACTGATTCAAACTCCTCCATCAGTTTCTGCCATGAACCACCATCATCAACATTCTTTAAATCACTTAACATCTTCTATATATATCTTTCTCAACTTCTTCGCCTTCAAAGAACTCAAGAACAAGATAGATTGAAGGAAATTACAAACGAACGAAATAAACACGATAGATTAAAGGAAATAAGTGGTAGGTTTCCTGTTTGTATATATAGGGATGTTTTGATTCCCAATCCTAACTGAAATTGAATTGCTTGCAGGGATCAAGTAGCTTGGCAACAAAGTTTGATAGTCTTTTAGTTTCAACGGGCAAGGGTTTTTGTTTATTGTAAGTTGGTTTAAGATTTCTAGTTTCTAATAGCTTAATATAAGATTAATATTATTGCATGTAATAAAATTAATCTATCCATCTATTAATTTTTTGTTGCTAACTTAATCACACATTCTTGTTTTTAGAAATAATATTAATTATTTTTTAATTTCTTTTCAACGTAATAATAATAATAAGAAGAAGAAAATTGCATCTCAAAGATATTAACCAAAAATAGTAGTATGAGAAAAAATCATGTTAAAATTTTTGCTTATTTTACATTTAAAAAAATAGAGTTCAAAGTTTCTCAGAATGGAAAAAACGAAAAGGAAATCATCAGAAACGGTTTTACTATTTAATTTTTAATTTTTTGTTAAAAGCATGAATTAAATTCATTATTTTTAATAAATAAATAATTGAATAAAAATAAAATGAATAAAATAAATGAACGAATAAGTTAAATTCTATTATTTTAATTTAAAAAATCAATATTTTAACTTTTAAAATATTATTTTGGTTTTCTGATAAATAAAAATTTCATTATCCAAAAAAATATAAAAAAAAAAAACCTACTACCAAAAAGTTGTACTAACATTTATCAACTATACATCATACGAATGAGATTATATGCACAAATAAATAATTTCAAAAAATAAAATTTAAATTTAGTTTTGTTAAATCATATACATATGACCATTTTAATACTTAAACTTGGTTTTTTTTTTTTTTTTATACTCAAACTGTAACCTTCTATATATAAAAAAAATTTAAAATAACATCAAAATAAAAGAACTTTGATAACTTAAATTTTATTTATTTAAAAAAAAATTCAAATTCATTTTTTAACAATAATAAAATACATTTATAAACATGATTAAAAACTTGGCATCAATATCATTGTCATAAACTAGTATCTCTTGTGTCTTTAGAGTTTATCTAGAAGGTGAGGTTGTATAAACTAAAGTTATTAATATTGTATTGGATAATATTTTAGTTTTCTAAAAAAGTGTTATATGTTGGTATCAGTTATTTTAATATATTATTTTGAATTTTTTGATTTAATACAAATATATTTATAACATACCTAAATTTTTACATAATAATACTATTAATAATATACAAAATAAATATGTAATTTCTTTAAATATTAAATAAATAAATTTAAAAGTATAAAAAATAATATCATTAATTTATTATGATATTTTTAAATATTCAATCAGATCACATGATATTCAAATAAATATTTTTTTATGTAAGAATATATTAAAATAAAAACAAAGTTATGAAAAAGAAAATAAAATATTATTATAAAAATAAAGAAATGAAAAAAAAAAACTTTGGCTTTTAGAGTCTTAAATCTAAAAGGATTGAAATAAATACCTTTTGTTTGAAAAAACAAAATGTAAAACAAAGAATTGCTCTAAAAAATAAAGCGGTAGGCTCAAGTTTTAACTTTTAGAGGTTTTTTTTTATTATTAAGTTAAAATTAATAAAAAAAAATAAATCATAAAATTATAAATTATATTTCACAACCATCTATCATCTTAAAATGGTTAATCCACCAAAATTACTCAAAATCAACAAAAACATCGATATTAGTCGTTACCAAGTGCGATATAAAAATTACGTTTAAATGTATTATATTTTAATATAATTAGGTATATTAATCTATATGATCAGTATTAAAATGAGATTAATAATTTTAATATAAATGCATGTTTGAAATTTGTACATGTATGTGATTTTGGGGAATTCAAAATTCTTTTAAATAAAAAACAAATTGGCTGAACGTCATTTCAGAACGAGGACTTAAATATACAAATTTTATCCTTAATGCTTTGCTCTAATGGTTAAAGAGCTCTTAAGAAAATGTACAGATTTTGATTTGAGTTTTCACCGCTTTTACCATGAGTTATACTCTACAACAAAAATATAATTTTTAATTTTTAAGATCGTTCTTTTCAAAAATAATAATTAATTAATTAATTAATTAATTAAAATTGACAAATATAGAAAGGTTAATTAAATTTAAATATAATTAAAGCTTATTTTCGGTTTTTTTAATATCCGACCCGACCCGTTTTAAGACTGTGCGGTCCATTTTATAATAAAAATAAAAATGAAAATAAAAATCAATATTCGACTGCTCCAGGGTCGGGGTATCGCTTTCCTTTCTTCTATTCCAAGGTTTTGACATTTTCTCCTTATTCTTCTTCTTGTGCCATTGAAGAGATCTGAACACACGAGCTCAGCGTGTTGAAGGCGGCACGCGCTTTAAAACGACAGCGTTCTTCTGCATGTACCTGCAAAATTGAATGAATCTCCACTTTTTCTTTATTTTCCTCACTGATTCACACTTCCAATTTGCTTCTTGTTCTTGTTCGTTTTGATCAGAAACGATGTCATTTTTGCATTGCAGATTTTATTTGATTCTGACAAAAATGCTATGATCTGTTTTTAATTCTTTGAATCACATAAATTTCCGTGTTGAGATTTTCACTTTTTTCAAAATTTTTTTATTTATTTGTAGATTTTAATTAAGTTTTGCATTGCTTGCAATTCATATTCTGGTGCTCAGCGTCCTGGATCTGAAGGTCTTTCTCTCGATTTTTAGCTTTTATTTTTCTTCTTCATCTCTTCTTTGGCTACTGAGAAAACAATTGAAAATTGAATGGAAAGGAAATTTTGAATTTTATACTTTTTTTTTTGGTGTAATTCGTTTCTGTTATTATTATAATAAATTCAGCTCAAATTTCCTCTTTTCTTGCACTGACCTGTAAGAATTTAGCCGGTAATATATAAAATATTTATTTTAAAAAAAATTCTCGTATTTTCCTTTTCAGGTGGGATTAAAGGCTTTGTTAGATGATTTGAGTTTGTGCTGTTTTCCTAGTTTTATAGCGTGGGAGAAGTGAAAAGCATTTTGAGATGGGGATTTTTGATGGATTTCCCATTCCTCCAGATAAAGAAGTAAGTTTTAATTCACTCTGTTTGCTTGCTTTTTTCGCTACTTTGCTTTTCGTGTGTAAAAAATTACTGAAAAGAAAAACTGTAATTGATTAATAATGAATAGATGACTAAAATGTGACACCAATTCTAATATAGTTGTTCTAGATACATGTAAAATTCATGTCTTTAATTGCAAGTTTTGGCAATCATCTTGAGGCTAGTGGAGTTGGAAGTATTCTGATTATTACTGTGTTTTAGAATAGTATGCTTTACTTGGGTGGTATTATTCTGTTGATTTGCGGGCAGCTTGGTTTGCTGTTTTCTCATGGTTCTTCTTCTGTTTGCTTATTATTAAATGCAGTATTTAAGGGATGAGCTTTCAAGAATAGATGAGAGTTGGGCAGCTGCACGTTTTGATTCACTACCTCATGTCGTCCGTATCCTGACCTCAAAAGATCGTGAAGGTGAGGTCCAGGATTTAAAGGAACAAAGCGATGTTGTTGAGGATGTTGTAGATGAAGTTGTGCATGCTTATCATGGTGGCTTCAACAAAGCAATTCAAAATTATTCTCAGGTTCTTTAGTAGCTTCTTTCCAAGCTAAACTTTTGTACAGTGTGCTTCGCAAGTTTTTTTTCTTGGTTTGTTACTAATGGCTTGTTTTTGTGTTTGTTTTAGTTAAATTGCTAATTAATTTGTTTTAAAAAACCATTTCTAGTGGTTATTTCATTGAGCATATGAATTCTGTTCGCATTTTTCCTGTAACTTTTTTCTGATAACGTTGAGTCCACAATTGGATAGGGAATATGGAACATTGTTCTTTGTAGTTTTGGATCTTAGAATCCTGTGATTTTGATTCTAAAACTTGATGGAAAATTACTTTTAAATGAAAAAACCTGTCAGTAATCACCATAATTGGTGAAAGCCTATGATTCTTGCTTTCTTAATTGGTGCTGCAATCATAATGGCCTTGCATGAGATGATCAATCATTTATCTACTTTCAGGTTCATGAAGAATATTAGTGTTTGATTTTCACCTAGATTGATAAGTGCAATAGCTGTGATGTTGACATGGTTTTGGGTTCAAGGGTGGTACTCTACAAACAGTTGTTTCATTGTGTCATGGTTTCTGGTTGATGGATGCTGAGTCATAAATGGATAGACTCAAGCAAATGATTCAGAGATTTTTGTAAAAAAAAATTATCTCGTCTTGTTTTTCAAATATTGATGGAATTCTGTCTCTTTTATTGATATTAGCATTGAGTTAATTGCACATGAACCATATTATCTTATCCTTTTTAATGAAAACAATACTATTTACAAGTTATTTTAATATAATAAAATTCTATTAAAACAATTAACTCTAACAATCATTATCTAAATTTCTCACTTCTTCTTATGTTGTTGTTAGTCTAATAGGTTAAGAATTCTATTGATGCATAAACCTATTTTAAATAGTATAAGTGAAGTTCAATTAAAAGTACAAGGGTAATAAAAGTTTCATATTCCCACAAACCACATTTATATATAGTATAGATGGATATGTTCTGAATGCTATTAAACTAAGAGAGATGTTTCTTTTTATGGTTTCTCTTTTATAGTTCTTATACTTGAATCCTATGATTCTATTGATACTATGAATATAAAAGTTGCAATTCTTCCTTATCCCTCCTGGGTGATATCTTTTGTGTTTTCTTTTTCCAGAATATGGTGGTGGTTTTTATTTTTATGGACTCTTAACCACTTTATTTGTCACTCCTCTGTCCCATAACTATTTTCCCATTTGAAACTCCAAATTTTTTCAGGGATGTGATAATTATTTTTGTATGACTTAATTTTGTGTATTATTTAATTTAGTATATTCTCAAAAATACCCTCCCCATAACATTACCTCTCTATCCTGCAAAATTTGCCCATCCTTTTTTTTTGGTCTCAGAATATTTGTCTATTTTGAGAGGTCAAAGAATGCTTTGTTAATTTTACAAAATCAGTCTTACTTGCTTCTCATCTGTTTTACATGCAAGAATTTGCTAGGCAAACTCTTAAAATCAAATGCATTTTAAGACCAATATGAATACAATAAATAATGCCCCCTTAAAAAAGGAAGTCTAAAGATGAGCTAAATATATGAGAAGAGAGAGTGTTAGTGGATTCGAAATTAAGATGATGTGCAAAAGTAAAATAATAAAATTTTGAATTTTAAATCAAGACACTCCTTTTTGACATCTAATATAGAAATAGAAAACATGTCCATTGATTGAGTATTTCAATCTCTAATTATGCCTTTGATAATCAATCCTGTGTTAGAGAGCACTCTATCAATCTGACGTCCATTGGACACTCATGGTAATGAATCCTATTACATGATAAATAATGGACAGAATAGGGGCTTGAATGATCAATACTATTATATGCCTGGACAAACAGGTCATGCAAAATAAATAAATAAATTTGCCATTAAAACTAATTATCTCTGGTATGATAACTTGAATGATGTGCCATCTGTCATGTCAGTCTCATTTTCTGCTTTTCCTTTTCCTTCTTTGTTGAAATTAGAAGAGGAAAGGCAAACTTTTACATTTTTATTACTAACTGTTCTGTCCTCTTCAGATCTTGCGGTTATTCAGTGAATCTACTGAAAGTATTGGTGTCTTAAAGGTTGATTTGGCTGAGGCAAAGAAACGTCTTGGTACACGCAATAAACAATTGCATCAGTTATGGTATCGATCTGTTACATTGCGTCACATAATCTCCTTGTTAGATCAGATTGAGGGCATAGCTAAGGTTTGCTCATCATTATTTCTACCTTTTAAATGAAATTTTGTTATCATTTACATGCTTCATCTTCATTAGAATTTGACACTTCACTTCCATCCATGCCTTCCTATGTTCCTGCAATAATCCAGTAAATCTGATGAATCACCTTGTTTGTTTGTAATGTGGATCAGGTTCCTGCTCGTATTGAGAAGCTTATTTCTGAAAAGCAATTTTATGCTGCAGTTCAATTGCATGTTCAGTCAGCATTGATGCTTGAGCGAGAGGGCCTCCAAACGGTAATTTATGAAATGTTGCAAGCAGTGTATCTGTTCTTATTCTTTGCTCTATTTAGGTGAAACTTTGGTTTTGCTCATGTTGCCAATTCCTAGATTAGATTGGCACTCGCTTAAAATGTTATCACAATTGTTCAACTTGTTCTTTCAAATTCTCTTACATTTTTATTGTGGAAAAACTAAGAAATAAATCAGTGTGGAAACTGAATGTATGTTGGAAAACTGCTTATTGAGAATTATACAAGAATCTTAGGTTTATATACAACTAACTAGGGGTTAAACTAGGAAACTAAATCTTCCTAAAAAACTAATCCTATAATTGAGGGATTGTCTATCCTAATTTTAGGGATACAAATACTTAATTCTAGAGATACAAATATAAATATACAGATTACAAGATTACAACCAGCTGTAAATAAATATTTTCCCATACTCCACCTCAAGCTGGTGAATAGGTGTTTTCCATTCCCAGCTTGGAAATAATTTCTTGAAATGTTGCACTACTGAGACCTTTAGTCAACACATCTGGAAGTTGACCCTTGGTTGATACATAAGGTGTACAAATCAACCCACTGTCTAGTTTCTCCTTTATGAAATGCCGGTCTACTTCAATGTGTTTTGTTCTATCATGTTGTACAGGATTGTATGCAATGCTTATTGTAGACTTGTTATCACAGTAGAGTCTCATTGGTCCATCCCACTTAATCTTCAAGTCTTCTAGGATAATCTTTAACCATAGTAGTTCACAAATTCCTTGAGCCATTGCTCTGAACTCTGCTTCAGCATTTGATCTTGCCACCACATTCTTTTTTTTACTCCTCCAAGTTACAAGATTACCACCTAAGAAAGTGCAGTAGCCTGAGGTGGATCTTCTATCAGTTACTGAACCTGCATAATCCGCATCTGTATATGCTTCTAGAACTAACCCCGAATTTCTTTTGAATAAGATACCTCTCCCAGGATTGGCCTTTAAATAGTGCAATATACGGTAGACAGCCTGTAGGTGCACTTCTTTAGGACTATGCATAAATTGACTTACCACACTCACAGCATATGCTATATCAGGTCTAGTATGTGAGAGATAAATGAATCTTCCAACTAATCTTTGGTACATCTCTCTATTTACAGCAGCATCTTCATTAGCTTCTCCAATTTTATGATTAGGATCTATAGGGGTATTTGCAGGTTTACATGCAAGCTTCCCAGTTTTCCTCAGAAGATCCATCACATATTTTTGTTGTGTGATGAAAATACCATGCCGTGAGTGAGCTACTTCAATTCCTAGGAAGTACTTCAATCTCCCTAGCTCTTTTATCTCAAATTCTCTAGCCAAACACTGTTTTAAAGATTCTCTCTCTTTTTCATCATCTCCAGTTACAATTATATCATCAACATACACTAATAGAACTGTGACTCTCCCTGAATCAGAGTGCTTGATAAACAATGTGTGATCTTCTTGACTCTGTTTATATCCCATTGCTAGCATCACTTTGGCAAATCTCCCGAACCAAGCTCTAGGACACTGTTTAAGGCCATATAAAGCTTTTTTCAACCTGCATACTTTGTTTGCTTCTAGATGACCTCCAAATTCCGATGGAACCTTCATATATATTTCTTCTTCCAAATTACCATGTAGAAAAGCATTCTTTACATCAAATTGTTGAAGTTGCCAATTGTAATTTGCAGCCAATGATAACAAAATCCTAACTGTATTCATCTTGGCAACTGGAGCAAAGGTTTCCTGGTAATCCACTCCATAGGTTTGAGTGTAACCCTTAGCCACTAACCTGGCTTTATACCTTTCAACAGTACCATCTGCCTTGTATTTTACAGTGAAAACCCATTTACACCTCACTGGATTTTTTCATTTAGGCAACTCTACTAGTTCCCATGTCTGATTTTTCTTTAAGGCCTCCATTTTTATTTTCATGGCTTGCCTCCATTTCTCACTGGATAATGCCTCGGATAATATAGTTGGAACAGAAATAGTGTTTAGGCTCACAAGAAAATTTTTGTGGGATGGTGAGAATTTTTCAAATAATACAAAATTAGAGATTGGGTATATTGGATGCTTGGTACATTCTCTGGTTCCTTTCCTAATGGCAATAGGCAGATCATAATCACTAGTTATAGTTTTAGGAGATTCATGCTCATTTTGAGAAACAGAGTTAAAAACTGTAGTTACCTCATTTCCAGAGTTAGGATCAGGTTCTTGGATTGGCACTAGTTCAGGATCTGAAACTTTCCTTCTTGAGTACACCTATAATTCCTTCATAGAATCAAGAACAATATTATTGTTTGTCACATCTTCCGTATTTGGAATGGGTTCAGACTCAAATTCAGTGTTTGACTTGGGCTCAGCAGAAACAGGTTTCGACTCAGAAGAATTAATGGGTGTAAATGTTGAAGAATGGGGCAAATCAAGCAAAAAGAAGTCTTTATCCTTATCTTCCATGAATGAAATCTCCCCCTGAAGATAAGGTCGAGTAAAAAATGGTTTATTTTCTTCAAAAGTGACATCTGCAGACACATAAAATTTTTTGGTAGGGGGATGATATCACTTATATCCTTTTTGAGTTGAAGAATACCCACAAAAATACACTTAATCGCTCTTGGATCCAACTTTCCCCTGTTGTGACTGTGAACATGAACAAATGATGTACAACTAAATATCCTAGGTGTGAGATTGTTTGTGGTATTGAGGTTGGGATAAAATTGTGAGAGTAGTTCTATAGGAGTTTTAAATCCAAAAACCCTTGAAGGTAACCTATTTATAATATGTGTGGTAGTGAGAACAGCTTCCCTCCAGTAAAATTTAGGTACATTTGCTTGAAAAAGAAAGGCTCGGGTTGTGGCTAGTAAATGGCTGTTTTTCCTCTCTGCCACTCCATTCTGCTGTGGAGTATTAACACAAGATGATTCATGGATAATCCCTTCTTTTTGGAAATAGGTAGATAGACTCTGGTTGAAGTAGTCTCTTGCATTATCAAACCTAAATCTTTTAATTCTCACTCCAAATCGATTTTGGATCATGTTTTGGAAACTTAAAAATATACTATTCACATCTGATTTGGATTTAAGTAAAAAAACCCAAGAGACCCTGGTACAATCATCTATGAATGAAACAAACCATCTCGCATCAGAAATATTATGAATTGTTGAGGGACCCCAAATGTCATTATGAATCAAGTAAAAGGGAGTAGAACTTCTTTTGTTATTGATTGGAAAAGACACGTCTATGCTTTGCAAGTTCGCAAACATCACAATGAAAATCTTCGACATTTAATCCTTTGAACAAAGAAGGAAACATGTTTCTCAAGGTTCCAAAAGAAGGATGTCCAAGACGAAAATGATAAAGCCAGATTTTGTCTTTATTGGAAGATTTTTCAGAAAGAAATGACAAAGGTAAACTATTCTTGATACTACTTTTGTTATCTGATGTCTCAAGATAGTATAGTCCATCCTTCTCCTTAGCAAGTCCAATCATCTTCCTCGAACTCTGGTTCTGAAATTCACAATAAGAGGGATAAAAAGTTACTTTGCAATTCATATCTCTGGTAAGTTTTTGTATAGATATCAGATTAGTAGACAATCCAGGAACATGAAGAACATTTTTGAGAACAAACGAGGGATTAACTTGAACATCTCCTAATCCTGCCACTGTGGTAAGTGAACCATCTGCAACAACAATTTTCTTATTACTAGGACACAGGTTATATGTACTAAACTTTTGTGAGGAATGTGTCATGTGGTCTGTGGCTCCTGAGTCAATGACCCAAGAACTCGTAATAGGCTTAGCCAAGACATTTAATCCATGAGAACCGGAAGCTTTACCTGAACTAGAAACCTTACCCAAAGAACATACCACAGTAGGCTTTTCAAGGATTTTCAATAAGTTTCTCAGCTTTTCAATCTCTTCTCTGTCGAACTCTCCTTGTTTCTGAGACATCTGTAGTACTCCAGTGATTTTTTCAATTAACATTTCCTCAAATTGGGTGGTAGTGATATCTTTCTTTGAAAGGGTTCGGCAATGAAGCCCTAAATAGGATTTGGCAATGAAGCCCTAAAAAAGTCAGCAATGAAGGCTGAAAATTTTGCTTCCCAAGAAGAGCCTAAAGCTCTGATACCATGTGGAAAAACTAAGAAATAAATCAGTGTGAAAACTGAATGTATGTTGGAAAACTGCTTATTGAGAATTATACAAGAATCTTAGGTTTATATACAACTAACTAGGGGTTAAACTAGGAAACTAAATCTTCCTAAAAAACTAATCCTATAATTGAGGGATTGTCTATCCTAATTTTAAGGATACAAATACTTAATTCTAGAGATACAAATATAAATATACAGATTACAAGATTACAACCAGCTGTAAATAAGTGTTTTCCCACATTTATCTTTTAGAGTAACTTATTGCTTTTACATAAATAGATCAGGTGTCCATCTTAAAGCTGTTAGGCCTTCCAAATTCAATGGCCATATTTATCTCACAATTATTGCAAAGGCCTAGTGTAAGGGGTTTGTTAAATATCTGGACAAGATGCAAAAAAAAAAAAAAAAAAAGACTAGTTTCAACTTGAACCTATGGTTTAGAAAGTGAAGACATTAACCTCTAAATTAAATCTGTTAAACGGTTTTAACCTTCAATTAACTAGACCGTTAGTTGGCATTTGAGCTGCACATGCTGCTATAAAGGGATGCTAACATGATGTTCTCTCTTTGCTCTTTCTTATCATTGTTAATAATCGTCTTTTGACTATTTGTGGCATAACATTGATAGACCATACACATGATTACAACAAAATCAAATCCAACCATTAAAATGTCGAAAACTAATCTTAAAATGCAAAATAATCAACAGGTACATAAATAAGTAAAAAAAAAAAAAAAGATGGAAGCCAAGTCAATAAAATGCTAGGAGCCTAGTCTGTGTTATGCTAATTACAATTTTATTAATCCAAATGGGTTGGAACAAGTGATGTCTTATTTATATGTTAATAAAACAGAGGTTTTACAGTAGCAAATAGCCAACCTAGCTACAAAAGGCAAAACTTAGGCATGAAAACCTGAAACAGAAAATCAATTCAAACACAAAAGTCTATTGCTTTTAATTCCACTGATTCATTGACACAATGCTTTGATGTATAAATTGTGATTGTTTGATTTTCCTATAGTTTACTGCATTTGTTATTCAAATTTTGCTACAACAAGGTTTTGGGTTCTGTTTTATTTGTCTGAATGGCTGGAAATGGTGTTTGGATGTGCTTTTTGTATGGAAAAAATGGTAAGAGAGGCAGAGTGAGGAAGACAGAATGATAGGGAGATAAAGGGAAAGGAAAAGAGACCAAAAAAGTGGTAAAAGAAACAGCATAGTTTTGGGATAGCATGTACTCTTCGTGTATGCTATGATCTTGTTAATAAAAGGTGAAAACATTGTATAATGGACATAATTTTGATGTTAACATTTCAACTCTCTTCACTAGAAGGTTGAATTTGAAATGGGTCCAAACTATAAGGTCTTTCATGTACTTTTATTTAGATATCATCATTGTGCCATTCTTTGTCAACTTAAGTTTTTGTGTAAATTAATTGTTAAGATGTTGATATAACAATTGAAGTGGCTTTCAGTAAATAATTTGCAACTATTCTCTGTCAGCTGGAAGCTTTTAGACTAATTAGTTGCTTAACTGATACATTTATATTCGACATAAACAAGTGTCAGTTTAGTCATTTCTACTATCTTCATCTTGGTTATTAATGTTCCTTCAAATTAGGATGCAGATTAAATTGAAATGTCAAAAATGAAAAAAAATGCTTCATAAAACCCAATCAATTGACCTACTATCTCAAAATCCTGCAATTCTTATTGGTCTAACTATGCTAACCTCCATCTACAGATTTAAAGAAACCTTACACTTATATAAAGTTTAGCTTTTTCTACATCAACTTCACTTTTGTGGAATTGAAACTATATAAAGAGCTTTTAGATGTTTTCTGTTTGCCCACATTTAAAGATTCTAACTTAATATAATCTAGGTTGGTGCTCTCCAAGATGTTCGATCTGAACTAACAAAGTTGCGAGGGGTTCTGTTCTATAAAGTGTTGGAGGATTTGCATGCACATCTTTACAATAAGGGTGAATACAGGTATTTTCTATCTATTAAGGGCTTGACTTTCCATGTAATATCCTTTTGTGATTCATCATTTGATCTATTCACATCGAATTGGAAAGAAAGAGATATCTGATTCTATATGTTTTGCACATTTTATTTGTTCCAATAAAAAGCGATTTCTGGAAAACTTTCCCTTTTGCAAAACTTTGTTCATTAAGCTGATTAAATTCTGCAGCTCAGTTGCTTCAAGCATGCATGAAAAGGACGATGAAGTTCCAACAACCACAGCTGTTGCATTTGTATCAAATACTTCACAACCTGTTTCTCGAAGAACTAGGTCAGTGAGAGGTGATGGTCAGTTTGGCAGTCAGGGGCTTGTAGATGGATCATACAGGCTGGGTTCCATTGATGGAGGGTAAGTCTACATGGTTCATTTATTTTTTTTAATATTTTTATATGTTCCTGACCTTTTCATATCTGTAAAAATTAAATCAATTTGTAATTATTTATTTGGTTGTCTGTTTGCACTTTCCCCCTGAAGCATTTTATGAATTTAGAAACATCCTTTAACTGTTATGATGGTATTATTTGCATTAATTTAAGTGTTAATTAATCCTTGTTTACTGGAATTCTTCCCTTGGAATAGTTCTTTCCTCTTTCATGATATTTCAATGTTCAGCTGAATTTTAATGGATTTCTTTTTTAAATTATAGGACAAGAAGCCTTCATTTCTGTTTTAGTTAGTAGAGTTTTATGAGTTTCTGCCATCAATGGAGGAATGATTTGGGTGCCAAACTTTCTTTTGAATCATAAAGTGATACATTTAATGGCATCGTCAAGTGTGATTAAGCTGTTTCTTCTAGTTAGTGTTAATCTCTGATACCTGCAATGTATTTTAGAATCTTTTAATGGATCCTATCACTTTCATTTGCTCCGTCTTTGTCAATATTTTCTTGTTGGTTTTTAAGTTTTTATTATGTGCAAATCATCAGAAGCCTATACTGCTTGATTTTCTAGATACGCAGAAAGTCATTAGGATTCTGTTTTTTAATTTTTATTTTCTTTAAAGATTATATTTCACACTTCATTCGGTTGTCTCAATTTGTATCTCACAATTTTTTTCAGTTCATCGTATGATGGCCATGATGAGGATGGTTCTTTGGAGCCTCATGATGAAAGGCTTAACGGTGGTGATGGGAAGGATGTCAAACTCGTATCCCATCAAATCCCAGTGTGGCTTCTGAATTCCACTCCTGATGAATTTGTTGTATGAATACTTCACTTAATATTATCACATCTCATCATGTTGACTTCATTACATTTTCTGACTTGAGCATTGAAGTACTGTTTTTTCTTTTTGGTGATCCAGGAAACAATTAAAAAGAGTGATGCTCCTGTTCACGTGAAGTATTTGCAGACTATGGTGGAATGCCTCTGCTTACTTCACAAAGTAGCTGCAGCCGGTGCTGTAATATGGTTGGTTGCTGTGCTTATATAGTAGCATGTTTTAATAGAACTTATATTCTTTCCTTGGTGCTTTTAGATAGAATCTGAAAATGGTTTTCTACAGCTATTCCAACATGCCTTAACATTCCTTTACCTTATCACCTACTGATGATTTTTGTAAGGTGGTTTTCTAATGAGATATGTGAACTTAGTAAGTCTGGATTTAAGTTTACATTGATGAAAATAGTTAAAATAGCCTTGAGCTTTTTCTTTTCATTTAAGAACTGTTAGTATTTAGCAAACTAATGACATGATAACTTCAATTTTTTTTTTTAATTCTAATATTTTTATTGATGCTGCTTTTGCTATTACTTGTCTTCATGATGATTTTATCTATAAATGAATTGTTACATTCCAAAATCTATGTAACAGCCAACGATTGCGACCCACAATTCATGAGATTATCACATCCAAGATTAAAGCCCATGCAGAATTCATTAATTCTTCAAGGTCTGGAATTGATAAGGCCACTCGAACTGGCACCAGCAATCTCCACTTTATAAAGGGACAGTTAGAAAGCTACCAGTTACCAAAACAGAAGCGTCAAAACGGGATAGCATTGGCTGGGACTCTGTTGGCAGTGAGCCCTGTCTCGCCTGTGATGGCTCCTACAGGAAAAGCACAGGCTGCTGCCAAAGAGCTTCTTGACTCAATTTTGGACTCTGTTGTTCGGATATTTGGTGAGACATTGAGTTTTTTTTTTATTACTCTTAGTTTCTTGCTATTTTATTTAATCTTAAATTAAGAATTGAAACTAAGTTGCTTGGGTCTAATTGATCAGAGAATCATATTGTTGTTGGAGAGCTTATTGAGTCAAAATGTTCCCTACAAAGTGACACAAACACACCAAAGTCACTGTTAACAGATGTAAACCTTGATTCTGAAGCATCTCAAGTTACTGGAGGCTACAGTATCGGCTTTTCCTTGACAGTTTTACAGGTCATCTATCTTCTCTAGTGCTATGATATTGACACAAAGTTTCTTTTGGGCAATGGTTTTGGCCCAATAACTTCTCCTTGACTTTTTATTTATTCATTTTACAATTTTTTCTTGAATTATGTACTACAGAGTGAATGCCAACAATTCATATGTGAGATTCTTCGAGCAACCCCTGAGGCTGCATCGGCAGATGCCGCTGTACAAACTGCCAGGCTTGCAAGCAAGGTTCCTACAAAAGAAAAGAGGTAAGTAACTATGAGTCTCATCTTTATATTGGAGGAAGAGAAAAAGTAAGGATTTAGTAATAGTTTCCAATGGTCATCTCTACTTTGCTGACATATTTTTATGTTTGAGTTACCTGTTTCTTTTTTTTTTTTTTTTTTTGGGGGGGGGGGGGGTGGGGTGGGGGGGTGAGGTGAGACTGTTGCTCCCATATATATCTCCTCTTATGTTTAGGAAGCGATGAGAAAGAGTAACTGCTTCAACAATATTTAGTAGATTACTAAAACTAGGGCCTATTTATAATATTGGTATGATGCTGCTTGTAAAGAGAGAGATTGTGAATGTCAATGATGTTGTGGTAGGAAGAATTCAGAATTGTCATTAAGTTTTGGATTTTACACATTAGAGTTTGGATGTGACATCATGATTGCAGTGAAATGTGGTAGCATAAAGTGTAGACATGGTTGTGGATGTGAATGTAATGTCCAGCCGCATGATTGACAGTTCTTTCCTCAATTTTCATTAAGTCACCTGATAGGATTTCTCTTTCTGCATATTTTCTTAAGAATTATCTCCTAGCATGTTCAAGCAAAATCCAACTGGAATTTAGTTTTTGTTATCTTGGGTCTATTGTCATTTGAATAAATAATGGATCTCTTTACATTCCTCTCATGAGTTAGTAAGAATAGCTGTTTGATAGATATAAATTTTCCACCATATGACTCTCTTTGTTAATTTAATCATAATTACTCATTGCTAATGTGCAATGAGTTATGAGGATATAAATTGTGATTATCTCCCCAAAGTTAGCATTTATCTTTTGGGGGGGGTGTGTGTGTGTAAATTATACTTAATTATCAAAAGAAGGCTTCATAATAGTATCCCACATCGTCAAAGAACATTGTGTATGTGTGAATTGTTTAGTAATAATCAAAGGATAAAAAAGTAGCTGATACTATTCCATATCAGCTCTGGTGAGTTAAGAGAGTATTTAAGTAGGTACTTACTCACACATCTATTGCTTGGGGTGTAATTATGCCTTTGTGTTATCTCTGCTTTGTTCCCCTTCCTCTCATCTGACTATTTCTTAACAATAAAAAATAAACTTTTCCATGACAGGGAGTCATGACTTACAAAATAAAAGATAAAGCAGCTAAAAACCTAGAATCTTTATATAGCCTGTCCTTTTATTGATACTGGCCTACCATTTTAGGATTCATAGTTCAGCCTTTGGGCTTCAGTTATTGTAACCATTTATCTCATTGCCAGTGGTTGATCACCATAATTGCAAACATAGCTAATATGAATACTATTTTCACGAGAATTGCTGCGATGAATAAACAAGAAACTGAATATGGTTGGCATTCTTCTATTCTTTTTCTTTGATCGTTGTATTATTTCTTTAAGCAGTGTTATCCTATATCAGTTAAGTCTTGAGTCTGTTGTGCTTTACATTCAAGTTGGGCCTCTCCGCCTATAACTAATTGGTTTGAGGTTGGATGTAACATAATATTAGAGCCCAAGTTTGTTATTTTGTTCATTGTTTTCATTGTTTGTTACCCTTTATGTTTTTGTCCACATTTTAGGTCTGTTTGTTAGTATTTTTTTACAGATGAGGGGGAGTTTTTATCCCACATCAGTTAAGTCTTTAGTTTGCTGTGGCTATATATTGAAGTTTGCTTCTCCCCTATAGTCTATTAGTTTTAGGTTATATGCTTAATATTAAGCACCTCGCTAGCACTTTTTTGTTTTACCATTATAACTACTATAATTTGCCTATTAAATTCTCTTCTTGCTTAAATTTTTCACACAAGCATGAAAGTTGATAGTGTTGGTTACAGGGATGGATCAGAAGATGGCCTCACTTTTGCTTTCCGTTTCACTGATGCTACCATATCAGTTCCTAACCAGGGTATGCTAAAGTTAAATGATTGCAAAACTTATTGAATTGTTATTAGTTCTTTTGCCATGATTTATCTAAAATTCTTAATGTGATTTGATTTATACAATGTGCTTTCTGCAGTGATTTGGTGAAGTTCCCTTATTGTGATTATTAGTATGAATCAGCCTAGGAGGGCTTGATGCCTGTCCAATTAAGTAAAATCTATGGTGATGAGCTTGACTCTTTAAGTTTGAATCCTCAGAGTAACACTTGTAGCAAATATGTGGTATTACAGGAATGAAGGTTCACCCCCTTGAGGGCAGTTCCTTTGGACAATAATTCAAATGGTAAAAGAAATATAAATGAACAGAAAATTCATCTCATTTCCAAAAATATTTGGTTGAAGCTTGTTGTTCTTCACTATAAACATTGTCGAATTATAGTTCTTGCTTATATTTAACTGACAGCATGTATGATGGTGAAACTTCTTCATTTGAAGTATTGTATGTTTCGCTGGCAGGGGGAAGCATAATGAGATTTTCAATTAGCTTTTAAATGTAAAATTCACAGTTTTGACTCTTTCAAGTGGTGTCATTTTTTTTATCCAATTTGCTTGAGTCAGCAAGCAGTCAGAGTAGGAGAATTTTTGTTGTGCTGATTTGATAGATGCTCTCTTTCTCTCCCTTTTTTTTCTTTGCAGCAGCCATTCATGATTTCTGTTTTATCGTGTCTTGATTTTACACTTTTTTCTTCTCTTTCCTTTTTGAGTTTCAATTTTTTTAGGTATAACTTTTTTCAAATATTCAATTTATTAATGATCTACTCATTGACATTTAATTGTTGTATGCCTCATCTACTATATAGGAGTTGATCTCATTCGCCAAGGATGGAGTAGGAGGGCTCCCAATGTGTTACAAGAAGGTTATGGCTCTGCAGCTGTCTTGCCTGAGCAAGGCATTTATCTAGCAGCATCTGTATATCGGCCTGTTCTTCAGGTTTGGGACCATGAGAATCAAATATCTATGTTTTCAAACGTTTTCTTTCATACATGTTTGTTGATGGTTCTGCAAATGGCCTTTTTTAATCTGATGTGTGGTGCAGTTTACCGATAGGATTGCTTCTATGCTGCCTAAAAAGTATTCCCAGCTTGGGTAAGTCTCCTTCCGAAGCTTGTATGGGTACAAAGAAGAGTGAATTGTTGTGAATGATATGATAAGTATTTAAGGATAGCTGTTAGGCAAAGCTCACTAGTTTTTATTTCTCACCTTGTACTCTTCTTTTGTCAATCTCGTGTGGCTAAATCGAAATGTTTGGCTTTGAAGTGAGACGTGGAAGGGAAAAATATTTACAACCTTTCACTTTCTGTCTGTATTATCACACAGATTTCATTATCAAGTTTCCAAATGCTTACAGCCATCTTTAAACATATTCCATGTTAATGCTTTTACTGAATGTTCTTTCCTCCTTGTATCCATAGAAGAGGGTTTTCCTTAATTTGCTTTGTAGGAATTATTTGTTGCAATTTCACATTATTTCTTGTTTGACGGTGAAGAACTTGCAGGAGTTCTTCAAGAATTTGCTATCTTTGTAGTTATATCCTAGTTTTGGGTAATTATTACTTGTTTGAAGGTGGTTGTGGTGATCTTGATCCATGTGCTTTGTTAATTATAAACGTGGACATTTAGTGTTTTTTTTTTTTTTTTGGCCAAAAGAAAATATGGACAGTTTAGTTTATTAACTTTCTTGTTTTAAGAATATTTGAAGCTATGTATCAGTTGGGATTTTTATTCATTTCATTCAATCTAGGTGAAATTTGTGATCCAACTCTTTTGCAATGGTCTGTAACTTTGACATTTATGTTCCTTTATGTCCTTAATTTCCATAATTGCAGGAATGATGGACTGCTAACCTTTGTGGAGAACTTTGTAAAGGACCACCTTTTACCAACCATGTTTGTTGACTACCGAAAAGGCGTTCAACAAGCTATATCAAGCAAGTTCCATAACAATGAGTCTTACAATTCAGTAATTGGCATTTTCAATCCATGCCTCACATTTTTAACTGTCAACCTGTTTGATTAGAAACTGTCTATCAAAATAACCAGTCTCATTTCTATATTAATTATAATAACCAGTCTCATTTCTATATTAATTATATACTATTATTGGTATTTTCAACTATTCAGCATCTTAAGATGGTTATCACAAGAAAGATGAGGAGGGTCTGATATTGTTTGATGGATGTTAAGCTAGGTTTGTTTCACCAATGTTTGTCAGTTAGTACACTGAAAGATGGTTGGCACAATATAATTATAAAAAAATATAAATTAAGTAAACCTGCGCGATATACAGGTTTAAATAAAGCAGCAATGTAAGTGTAGTAATTTCATTTTAGAAAGCCAAGAATAATGGAAGAAATTTTTGTGAGAACGATGCTGCAAGAGACTGGGGGTTGGTTTGTTTCAAGAAATGCAAGGTTTAAAAATGGTTAAATGTGAGTTATATCACATATATGATGATGCAGCTTTTGATTCCATCTTTGTTTCTCCTTTAGAACTCTTAACCTTTTTCTGGTCAGATCCTTTAAAACTCTTAACCTAAAAATGTTTTCTTACAGGTCCGGCTGCATTTCGTCCACGGGCAAATACTAGCGTTTCATATGCTATATCTGTTGAGAAGGGTCGACCTGTCTTGCAGGGGCTTCTGGCTATTGATTTCTTAGCAAAAGAGGCAAGTTTATCTTGTCTTTCTTATTTCCTGAAGAAACTATTTTTTATTGCCTCCTCTTCAATCTCATAATATTATTTTTGTTATATTGTGATAACAGACTATTAGCATTTTTCCTTTTTTTTTCCAATATATTTGGGTAAAAGTTATTTACCATTTTTCTTTGTTTGTCTTGAACATTTTCCATACAAGTTTCTGAACCATCTACTCTACAGCTGTTCTTTTTTCCTAAAAATAAACTTCAATCTAACTCTAGGTGCTTGGTTGGGCTCAAGCGATGCCTAAATTTTCTGCTGACCTTGTGAAGTATGTGCAAACTTTCCTTGAGCGAACCTATGAAAGATGTCGAACTTCATACATGGAGGTAGGGATTCTTTCTCTATGATGTTCTTTCTTATTTTTGCATTTAACATGCTTTTTATCTGTTGTTGATTTTTGTTTATGTCATCCAGGCCTAATTGATTTAGTTGTCTCTATTTTTCACAGTTTTTAGTCATATCAACAACATGTGAAATTATGAAGCAAGAAAATATTATATAATACTGTTTAAACATCTTCACCTGATTAATTACAGTTCTAGATGTTGTTGATAGATACGTTGTTTGTAGCTGCATGTGACATTAGCGTTAGGTGGAGGCAGGGGGAGAGGGGGTGAATTTCTGCTTTTTTCTTCATTCTTTTCTTTTTCTTTTTCTTTTTCTATTTTTTTTTTTTGTTTAAGATGGACCCAAACTATTGATATATATATATATATATATATATATATATATTTCAGTGCCTAGGTGGAATTGCATTTATTTGGCATAGATAATGGTCAAACAAGGGTTAAGAACTTAAGATATTAAATAAAATTTGGCTGTCTTGTGTAGATGGTATGTAAACAAAGATGTGAATATAACAGCTCAAACTTATACCATTTCTTTTAGTAAATGAGTTAGGGTGGAATAGTTCTTTTAGTATATAAATACGGAGGGAAATAGGCTAAAAGTGTAGAAACAAAAGCAAAGAATTAGCCAGATATAAAATAATGATGCTATTTTACAACAATAATAAAAGTTTCCAAAAAAATGAAGTACCAAAAAGGTCCCAAAAGAATCCGAAAAGATCAAACTGGCAAGAAGATACTAAAGCATGTCTGATATTGTCAAAATTGATTCCACAAAATGTTGTAGAACGTTATGCCATTGTGTAAACTAAGAAGCAGTGATGTGCATGCTTCTTATTAGAATTATTTGATTGAGATAGTTGAAATTCATTCTTGATTTTCTATCACTGATACTTAGAATATAATAGAGAAGTGGTCTCTAAACCATTTATTTTGTCCATGCTACTATGCATATGGTAATTAATGTTTTCCATTCATAAACATTTTGTTAATATTTCAGGCAGTTCTTGAGAAGCAGAGTTATATGCTCATTGGAAGGCATGATATTGAAAAATTGATGCGACATGATCCATCTAGCGCGTGTTTACCAAATGCACTTGGTCAGTCAAATGTGAGAAATATTGCTTCTGATGCAGAAAGTGTTGAGGTTGAATCAGAACTAAGTGAACTTCTCTTAAATTTGCGTCCTATTAAGCAGGTAAAAATATGCCTGGTGATGACTTCTGCCCCCACTGTTTCAAAATTGTTTTGAGTAAATTTTCTAGCTATCTACTTCCAGAAAATTGAATTTATTATGCATTTGAGCTTGACTTGCTAATGAAACTCCGGTGCCATCCTTCATATGAATTGATGTTGTCAAAGTATCAATTGAAGGTAATCGTTCTTTCTCTTACCACATTTCTTGTGCAGGAGAATCTAATTCGCGATGACAATAAACTTGTTTTGTTGGCATCCCTGAGTGATTCGTTGGAGTATGTTGCAGACTCAATTGAAAGGCAAGTTTATTATCTGGCTTGAGTTGGTACTTGGATATAATGTGCAATGTTTGTGAAGTCACAACGGGCTTTAAAGAGTAGTTTATGAGAACATAGAGTTATTACTATGGACACAAGGTGTGAGATCTATTCCCTGTATTTCAGAACACATCTTGATGTTTATCTACATGTTGCAATGTGTTATGATGCCTTATAAGTATGCAAGTAGCATGTCATTTTCATCAATCATGTATTTCTAGATCCATGTAAAATTGGTGATCTAAGGAGTCTTGATATGACATTAACGTTTCTAACGTAAAACTGTATATAAGGAATCATGATATGGCATTAACATTTGTAACCTAAAATTGTATATGCAACTGAATGGGCTTTGCATCAAAGAAAAATAAAATGTTATGGCATTAATATCTCAATCTTTTTTCTCTCTTTCCTTCCTTTTATCTTTTCCTGCCATACATAGATATGAAGAATGGTATATCATTTTTGCCCTTTATGATGTTAATGGAGCAGATACTTCTGCAAGTGATATGTCATGATAGACAATTATGCTTTCGAGAACTCTATTCATAAATTTTACACATATCTAATGCAACGTGTAGACTTGTACAAGGGACCCCACAAACATCAAATCATGTAGAGAGTGGCAAGCCTAGCCATACACGAACAAGCAGTTCACCCACTAGGGATTTGGCATCATTTGCTGATGAGTACAGAAAACTAGCAATTGATTGCTTGAAAGTTTTACGTGTGGAGATGCAGTTGGAAACAATTTTCCACTTGCAGGTTTGTCTAAATAGCATAATTCAGAAACACTTGGAAGAATGACTATGTGGTGAAAGCACCTGTAACTAACCAAGTATTATGGCTCAAACAGGAAATGACAGATAGGGAATACCTGGAAAATCAAGATGCAGAAGAGCCTGATGACTTTGTTATTTCACTTACTGCACAGGTCACTTGCTCCAATTCTTATTAATGTGTAATTTTTTATATTGCATTGGTCTTCTTCAAGGATACTTATTTCAGTTTAAAACTTCCAATGGATAATTGTCCATCTGTCCATGCTCCTTTAAGTTAGAATTAAGATCTAATGTACTCGGTAGGTAACAACCTTCATGGGAGAAAGGTAGGATTTGGCGGCAGCTTACTACGAAGAGTTCTTAATTCTACGTACCATATGATGTTCAGTTTATCATTAGCTGCATCTTGGGTTTGTCAGTGCTTTTATTTTTACATTTGTCTTTTAATTTTATGGTTATTGGGTGGCTAGGTGGCAATGAAGAAAATAGAGAATGAAAAGTTTTGGGCATTATTTTCCTGTAACTTTTATTTTTATTAAAAATGATCAGATTGCTTGGAAAACTTTGATGTTGAATTTATTCTTCCCATTATTATCCCAATTTCAGATGGTCAGCTGCTTGATTTTTACTTTAATGAATTTTATAAAGCTACCCATCATTAAAATTTTCTTTTTATGTTTCTTTATGTATAGATAACACGCAGGGATGAGGAAATGGTGCCTTTTGTTGCTGGAGTGAAACGGAATTACATATTCGGTGGAATATGTAGTATTGCTGCAAATGCATCCATTAAGGTTGGGGTTCACTCTAAAGTTAACTTTGATTCTAATTTGCTCGTTTTTAAGATTAGTTCCAATTTAGTGTAAAATAGCACCTACTTTATTCCTCTTACCAATGGGATAATACATCTGATTAGGCTTTGGCCAATATGAAATCGACCAACCTGTTTGGAGTTCAGCAGATATGTCGGAATTCAATTGCTCTAGAGCAGGTTAGTATGTCTTTTTATTTTCAGATGGGGTGGGGTGGTGGGACGGCAGTTTTTATCTCTGAAGGTGCTGAAATAATATGAAAATATTCCCATTTTTTCTAGGAATATTACCTGCTTTTTTATGCAGTTCAATGTCAGTTGTGTAAATTGATTGCTTTAATGTAGAGGATTGTCTGGTCTCTTGAGTCCATTCTCGAGTTTTCTTTATATGAAGACTACAATTTTTTGAGTTTTGCCCTTGTATGAAGATTCATTCTTGTCAAGTTAACGGTGAAACCTATGTTGCTTGGCCTAGGGAGTGAGTCAGACATAGGGTTTTGTAATACACAGGTGCGGCCAATTTTTTAAAAGTTTTGTTATATTTGGCTAGCTCAGACCCCACAATTTCCACTGAGGTGTATGATATGTGTTTGACATGATTCCTTTTGGAAAAGTTTAGTCTGCGCAACATAAACAACATCTCTGTAGCCAACCTCAATTGACTAGAATTAATCTTTGTTCATTGCGAAGAGCCAATTTTTATTGCTTGAAATAATAGTTTCAAATATTTTCTATAGTTGAAACAATATGATCTATTTCCTTCTAAAGCATAATAGAGATCATAGTATGTGCTCATAGGTGGTTCAAGGTCTGAGACAGTGACAGTTTCCTATGCCTAGAGTTGAATGCAAAGATCTTCACTTCTTTACTCTCTCTGTTCTCTTTCTTGTTTCTTACCTTTAGTTTTCTCATCACAAGAATGACCAGTTCTTGTGAAAAAAGGATTTAGGTTATGCTAGCATCAGTTGCATAACCTTATCCTTACCTGTAATTAGCCTTGCTTGGATTCGGCTTTGTTGTCTGAATGTTTGGCCAAGGGTTGATCAAAAAATAAGTTTCAAGTTTTACATTCCAGTTCAAGCTGTTGAAAATCCAAATGGTTTGGGTGTATCCTTCTGATTTTGGTTTTGACTGTACAAAACAATCCTTATTTACAATCTCTGTTGGCATTACAGGCCCTTGCAGCTATTCCTTCAATTGACAGTGAAGTTGTACGGCAGAGATTAGATCATGTTCGAACCTATTATGAACTGTTAAATATGCCATTTGAGGCAAGCTTTATCAACTCATAGTCCCTTTTCGTGATTTGTGAATTACACTTTTTTGCTGTTACAATTGATTTGCACTTTCCTTGATTGCAGGCTTTGCTTGCCTTCATTGCTGAGCATGAGCACTTGTTTACAGCTGCAGAGTTAGTGGCATTGACTAATTTCTCCTTGTTGGACCAAAATATTTGCATATTAGTTTAGTGACGAATGATGCTGTTGTTTTGACAGGTATGTTAATCTTCTCAAAGTCCAGGTCCCAGGAAGAGAGATACCTCCTGATGCACAAGATCGAGTATCAGAGATTTTATCCCATTAGCACTCCAAAATGACTTGATCTGTTATCTTCCAAAGTCATATGACCTTTGCTTGCATGGATAATTACCCATCTCCTAATTGGTACAGCACATTGGAAGCTATTGTTCAACATGTGCCAAATAGCAGTATACTTTTGTCAAATATCAGAGATACGAGGTTTGTTCTATCGCATTTGTAATTATAATTTATTCTTTATGTAGTATCAATTTTGTGAGCTTTGTGTTTCTCCATGCGTTTGTTTAGTGCTTTTGTTTAGTGTTTGGTGATGACAGATTAAGAGTACAAACATCATGTTATGCTGTCGACTATATGGTCATTGTCTTGTTGTCTTCCTGTTATTGAGATCGAACATTTTATCTTCTAACCTCCATTGAAAGTACAAGTTCAATAAGAAACTTAAAGTTTAATCGAATTAGGGATACCCTTTGAGAACCGAGGCATCTCTTTATACGTTAGGCTGTTTTGGATGTTTATTTAATTCCAACTGTTTTGACTTAAGATAAACTAGAACTAATTCTAATTGCCAGAATCTTTTAAATGATTTGGTGACATTTTTGAAGCTAGAAATGCTTAGTTTCTATGAATCCGTTGTGTTGGATAGGTTTTTGAAACTAGAAATACAAGTTCTTTTTTTTTTGTTTCAAAGGGGGGGAAGGGGGCAAAGCCCTAGGGGAGGGGGGGGGGGGGGGGAAGGTTTGGTTCGAAACCAAGCCTTGATGTCTTCCGAAACGCTTCAGTGGCCACTAGGCCATGAAGCGGAAGACAGAAATACAAGTTAAATATGACACATCTTGAGCTATTTGATAACAAACCCAATGCAGTAGGAGTGTATTCTTACCACTTTAAAATCCCCTTGACCCCAAATGCATCCATCCCACCGCACACGGACCCTTACAATGTAAGATATTCATTCAAGTATGACATTTTGTTTTGATTTGTCATACCTAAAAGCTTATGAGGTCCAACAATTTATTTATTCTTAATTTTTTTTTGTACGACAGTTCGGAATCACTGTTTACATGTGAAAACTATATTATTTTGCATAATGCAACTTGTAAGTGGCAAAAAGAGTAAGAGTGTGTTCTTTTTTGTTGTCTGAGTTCGAATCCGTTGGAAAAGCAATGGGAAAAGTAATTTATGAATTCACTAGATCCTAGTAAATAAGCCTGTTTCAATTTGTTCAGAAAGGGGATGTATTTTGCGAAGTTCAGGAATCTCTTGTCGTTAAAAAATTAAGAACAATAAAAGGGGGAAAACATAAAAAAAAAAGTTGTGTAGTCCAATAAATTCTCATGGACAATTTATTTGAGTGTCGATCCTCCATTTTAAGTACTTTGAAGAAAAAAAAAAGGGCTTTTGAATTTTGAACAAGTAGAATTAAAAGTTTCTAGGTGTTCCTTTCGGCTTTCGAGGGGTATTCTTTTATTTTTACACAGAGCTCAAGCATCATGATTAATTCTCGTCATTTTAAATTACTACAAACAAACAGGAATCATAGGGGTTTATTGAATTAAATATTGGATAAAAAGATAAGAACATTGCTTTGCCTAATTTGATACGATTTTCAGAAGTATGCTATTATCTTGTTCATCTTTTCATTTTAAAATTTAAAAATTAAACTTGCAAAAATTTTCATACGATTTTTAAATAAAAAATTTTACAAACTTTATCCATAAAATTTTATATAATTTTTTTTTTCATATTTGAAACCCACCTCCGAACTCCAAAGTAAGAGAAATGCAAAGCAATTAATTTATAAACCCTATTCTTTTTTTTAACTAAGTGTGCAAAAAACCTAATAAATTTTAGGGTTTAGAGCCTAAAGTACTAGGTAGATAATGCCTACTTGGATTTAATTAATGGAATAGCCTCTTAGTTTACGTTTCATTATATCCATAACTAAAAAAGAAGCTATAAATTTCTTGATTTTGGGTCTCATTAATTATGAATAATCAAAACTATATATATATATATATCTAAACTTTTAACTCAATGATAAATATATGTATTTTCGTTTAAAAATGAATTTGGTATAATTTTTCTAAACTTATTTAAAAAATTGCATAATCAAAGAATCCAATTAATTTGTATGCTCATAAGAATGTTTTATATTACATATCTTCTAAAAAAAAGGTTACAATCTAAGAATAGGAAAATAAATTATGAGAATAGAAAAAAAAATTATAACTGTTAGGATTTAAATTTTTGACTTATTAAATATCAACAAATATGCTAAGTTTTAGATTTTATATTGTATTTCATATTTATATCCATATCATATAGATATGTGACTTAAGGAGTATGAAACTTTTTTGAAGATTATGGTACCATTTTTTTTTTTTGGGTCAAATTTTAATTATACTTTAACAAAGTAATAAACCTCAAAATTAGTACAAAACTTGTATAAAGAGTAATTATCTTAACTTAAAGATCAAATAAAAAATAATTAACTAAAATTTTTTGTTTGAAATTAATTTTAGGTATATTGTTAATAAAATACTTATTTTATTAGAATAAACTGTAAATATAATTTTTATTAAAATAATTAACACAGCATAATATGCTTCGAAGTGTAAATTGTAAATTAATTAAATAAAAATCAATAAAGTAAAAAAAGAAAAGAAAAGCTAGATGCTCTAATTAATCGGCATGGTTATCTTTAAAATTTTTAAAGGTCCAATCATTAATTTTTTTCACTTAAATATACTTTCAAAACAAAATTATAATTTAAATATAAATTTTGCTCAGTAAAACAAGCTTTTAATGCAAAATTAGAATTTAGGGAGGATTTATTTTATTTTATTTTTTTGTTAGATTGCAATCCGACATGCATCAGACTTTGATAAGGTTCAAAATTTCTTACACGACAATTTTCCACATTATTGTATAGTAGGTTGGCCATGCTGCTCAAAAGCAGACAAATGTCAATAAATATCTGCAGTTGATAGATCGAACTTATGGTACTGACAACTTTTTTTCTTTTGCCCCACTTTACTTTGCAAAAGATTGAAAAATTGAACGTTTCAAATTGTTGGAAAAAAAACAGTGTTTCTTGCTATACACACTAAATAATATTATCAAAAATATAAAAATATAGGATATAAATAAAATAAACATATTTGAAACGAATTTTATTTTATTTATGATATATTCATTTAATCAATAAATTTTAAAATATTGTAATATTATTCATAATCATTTATTAAGTTTAATTACAAACAAAAATTAAGTCTAATTACAAATTATTTTCAAAAAGATTTATTCATTTACATTTTTATTAAAAAATGATAATAATCTTTTATTTCTTATTTTGTCTTTTGAGAAGCATTAAAAAATAAGGATATCAATTTTACATATATTCAATAAAAATTTAATTTTTTATTTTAATAGAGATTGGGATAAATATTATATTATGAGTATAAAAATAGATATGAATACGATTTTAAATTTTTATTGAATACGAAAATAAAACCAGATAATATAACACTCACTTCATATCCATATCATATATATATATATATGGTTATTAAATAAAATTTTCATTAAATAATATAAATTATTATTTTAGATTAATTAAAATTAATTTTTTTATTAGAAAATATATAATAATATATATTTATAAAAAATTATTTAAATATACAAGATAAAAATAAAAAATAAATTTTTATTTTTATTTTTTAAAAAATGATAAGTATAAAAATTACATATATCTATTAAATATTAATGAAAATGTAGGGGGAGATAATTTAAAATATTTGTTAGATAAAAATACGAGTTAAATATAATATAAAAATTTAGATATAAGAATGAAAAATATTCTATCATCTCCTCATCTTACCAGTTAACATCTCTACTAAAAAAAAAAGTTTATAATTAAATATATATATATATATGTATGTATATGTATATATCTTATGCTTTATATGCTTATACTCTTAACTTGTCTTGAAGCTGAAGGGGACAAAATTTTTGTGGAAATGACTGAACCTCCCTGCTTCAAAGTACAAATCCAATAATCATTTTACAATTTCCCCTTTTTTCTCTTTGTGCCAAAAATTATAAAAATAAAAAAAAATAAAAAAAAACCTTTTTCTCTCTTTTTTTTAGTGTGACAAAGTGTTGGAACCCAGCCATTGACTGATTGCAAAGGAATCAGAGCCCTTCATTGGGTCTGGTCTCACATGGAAGCATGTGTTACCAAATATTACCAAAGGAGTGTCAGTTTTTGGACTCACGTTGAAAGAGCCGATTCAAATTACTCATTTAAGTCAACTCAACTCAACAGTCCTTTCCTATTATTTGTGGGGGAGAGACAATCCGGTGTGTCCATGTTCATCTTTACAGCATATGTGGATCCCACATAATAAAAAAAATTCCAAGTATTTTTATTTATTTATTTTTAACAAAATTGAGATAGATAGATTATTTAATTTTTTTATTTTGTATAAAATATTTTACATTATATATGTGCAATCAATATCAATGTTAATAAGTTATTATAAAAAATTTAAACTTAATATCATTTATATATGTTTTGGATATTTTTGTTTAATATTAACAAATAAATTTTTTTAATTTAATCAAATTAAATTCGAACATTATGCAAACATCTTATCATTAAAATAAATCAAACTCAAACAAACAGAATAATTTTTTTTATAAAAAATAATCAAATTCGAATATATCTAAAAATAAACAAATAAATCATATATATTTATTTATATTTAATTTATTTACATCTCTACATACATATATTTTTATTTATTTATTTATTTATATAAATCACATACAAATTGCAATGGGAAATAAAAAAAACCATATGATAATAATTAAATGCTTAATCTGGATGTCTGGTGAGAAAGATTTTTTTTTTATATTATGAGTGTCATTTTAAAATTTAACCATGTCATAAGTGTTATTTATAAATTAAACAGAATCCAATCATAATACGACGTCGAGAATTACAACACAACGAGAGATCCTTCCTCATGCATATCAAATCATTGAGTAAAGTTTTTTCTTTAATCACAAAATAATTAAAAAGCATTGTTTTGTGTAATCATATGCTTTTTTTTTATTATTATATCAAAAAAATAAAATTTTAATATGAGTAAAAAAAAATTTAACTCGAAGTCAAAATTTTTGATATTCCTCCAAATGTTTTTAATCATTAAATGAAAGGTTCGGAGTCAATCATATGCTTTTTCGTTTACATTCAAAAAGTGACAGTAACTTTTTAAATTATTTCCAAAGTTTCTTCGTTACTGCAGAAGCAAGAGAGAGCTTTCTATTAAATTCTCAGTACCAACCCTTTTTCTAATCTCTGTCATGTGATGCCATTTCTTTTTCTCTATCACTTACAAATTCCTCTAAACATTAATTTGAAGTAATAATCATCATAATTTCACCCATTATCATTTTTTTTTACTTTTACATTATTACTGCTAATTAAGCTTCAATAAATAAAAAATTCAAGCTTATTCATCATGTAAGAGTTAAAAGTATTCTTATGATTAAAATATATTTTTTCTTAAGAGTTAAATAGAGATTATTAATTCAATTTTTTTATGTTCATGCATCATGTACATTTTATCTGCTCGATTAAGAATTCTTTTAAATACGTGATGAAAAAAATTTTTAATGCACATCCTAATAAGACATAAGTCTCATACAATATAGAAGTAAAAAAAATTACATAACACTAAAAAATTGAAATTTTAATTCAATAGATAAAATTATTCATCATAGAATGAAAGATATTAATGTATTAAATGACAATTATAACAATGTAATTTTTATATTAGAATTGATAATTGATGTATTTATATCATATAAAATACAAATTATTTATGTGTTACATAAAATTATATATTATAATTCATATCAATATGAAATTATGAAAAAATTTTTATTTTATTAAATTTATTTATATTTTTTATTAAAATTTTAAAATTATATCATCTTCTATATCATATTATTATATTATATTTTAAATTATGAAATTTATTTCACATACTTACATGCAATCTTCTTAAAAAGAGTAAAAAACCTTTTTGTATGGAAACAAAAAGTAATATGTAAGTTTTAGTAACCTTAAAAACAAGCCAACCTCAACACCCACAGGAACAACAGTAACAAAAACGAAAACCCATGTTCAAATGTGAATCCAAAAGCCGAAAAACACTGGTTTTATTTTGTCAGAAAAAAAAATCGCAGCTATAAAATGGGAGGAGGCAGTGAATTGGAGCCTACCAACCCACAACTCGTCAGATCCGTCCTTTTGGGTCCCATTTTTTCCCTTCTTCAACGGTGCTTCTGCTTCTGTTAGAAAAAATAAAAAAACTATAGACAAAGACATAGAAATAGAAAATCTTTTTGTAGACTTTGTGTTTTTAAAAGACAAAAGAGAGAAAAACAAGGGTTGAGTTTTAGTTGGACAAAGAAAGCAAAGAAGTGTTTTTTTTCTTTTAAAACAAAGTTGAGGCTTTTGGTTTTGGATGCCATTGCCGATGTTGGGTTCATTCAAAAGCTTGGTTTTTGAGGGCATTGATAAACATCTTTACTTTGTTTAGTCTGTTTTTGAAAATGGGTCTTTATCAAATCCGGTAAAACTAACTCCATTGCGTCAATTTGACATTGATAGCAAAACTGTGAGTGTCTGCGTCTTTCATTATCACAAAAAAGCTATCAACTTTACCATAAAAAAATAAATTCTTTTATATTTTTTGACTAATTATTTGTATTGATAAACGCCCTTTTTCTTGTTTTGCAGTCTTGTAAAGTTGAATTTGTTTTTGATTGGTTTGGCAGCATGGTTTGAAGCCAAGTAAGTTGCCTAGATCTGAATTTACCATGGAAATGTTTTTATTCTACTAAATTGAGAAGTGGGTCTTTATATCTAAACTTTCTTTGTATATTAAATAGCTTCTTTGGATCTGTAATGCTCTAGAATTTAAGCTTTACTTATTGCCTCTAAGGTTATTTTTTATTTTTCAATTTTGGGAGTTGGGTCCTCTTTGTTCTTCATGTGTTGTATGCTTGAATTTAGCTTTCATGAGTTTAGGTATGAATAAATTTTTTTTTTTTTTTTAGATTATGAGTTGTGTTATAGGTATTCTGCTTCTTTTCTGTCTCTCATACTCACATGCTGGTTTTTCAATCCTTTTTTTTTTTTTGTGTTTATGTATGTGAGGCCATTTTCGTTAATCTTGCCTGGTTTTTTATTTTTAATGCTTCAAAGATTTGAAATTTAATATCTCATTTTTGCTTTGGAGATGTATGCATTATTTTCTGTAATTGTTATTCGACAGTTTTTCTGTTTATTAGAGTGGCATTGATGTTTCTTAACTAAAACATCACTGATATGGATATAGCATTCAGTTTTGGATAAATTATCAATACAAGTCTTTCTTTGGTATTATCCTGTTTTAGTAATGATTAATTTCATTCCTTTGATCCCAGAGTGGCTTCTCATACCTTGGTTACATTTATGGCATTCAGCTGGAGATGGGAAGTATTGTAAATATGGATCTCCAAGAAGATAGTGGCAAGTTGCGGTCGCTACCAGCGACAACCTCTAGAAATTTGTCATCATCATCGTCAGCATTCTTTTCTGCGAATCAATCACCATTCTTCTCTCCCAGACCATCAACGTGTCAATTATCTGAATCGGCAAGGTCTGATGCTCAATGTGATAGTATTAATTTAACTGCTGATCGTCCAAGTTCCAGTTCTGGAATTCAGGAACATGAATGCCTCGCAAATGTCAGATTTGCCCTGTCAGACATGTCATTAACGCCTGCTGCTTGTATTTCAAGTGACTTCCAGAAATTTGACCATGTGTCATCTACAACTCTTGTCTCTAATGGCACCCTATCTAGTTGTGGTCATGTGGATGACAATGGTTATTGTGGCCTTATAGAGAAGCACAGAAAGCATATGAGAAGCCACGATATGTCCTTTTCCCCTGTTCCAATATCGTTATCTTCTAATATAGACAGAAGCTATGATGTTTATATAGGTTTGCATGGTCACAAACCTTCCTTACTGAGGTTTGCAAATTGGCTCCGTGCTGAGTTGGAAGTCCAAGGGATGAGTTGCTTTGTATCAGATAGAGCTCGATTTAGGAATTCTCGTAAGCATGGACTTATTGAGAAGGCAATGGATGTTTCTTCCTTTGGGGTTGTAATTCTAACAAGGAAATCTTTTAGGAATCCATATACTATTGAGGAGCTTAGATTTTTTTCCAGCAAGAAAAATTTGGTCCCTATCTATTTTGATTTGAATTACGGTGATTGTCTTGTCCGGGATATAGTTGAGAAGAGGGGAGAGCTGTGGGAAAAACATGGAGGTGAATTATGGGTTTTGTATGGAGGGTTGGAGAAGGAGTGGAAGGAAGCCGTTAATGGCCTTTTTCGATTGGATGAATGGAAATTGGAAGCTCAAGATGGTAGTTGGAGAGACTGCATATTAAGAGCTGTTACTCTTTTGGCAATGCGGTTAGGAAGACGAAGTGTTGTAGAGCAATTGACGAAGTGGAGAGAAAAGGTAGACAAAGAGGAATTCCCATTTCCTCGAAATGAGAACTTTATTGGCCGGAAGAAAGAATTGTCAGAGCTAGAATTTATAATTTTTGGTGACATTAGTGGAGAATCGAAAAGAGATTATTTTGAGCTCAAGGCTAGATCAAAGAGAAAGAATTTGATGATTGGGTGGAGTAAGAGCAGTTCAGTAGAGGAAAGACGCAGGGAACGACAGTGGGAGAGTGGCAGCCGGAAGGGTAAAGAACCAGTCATTTGGAAGGAGTCAGAAAAGGAGATTGAGATGCAAAGCACTGAAAGGCAGCACTATCAAAGACCAAGAGGTGGTGGACGGAATTCACGGAGAAAGAGATCAGCGAAAATTGTATATGGAAAGGGTGTTGCCTGCATAACGGGGGACTCAGGAATAGGGAAGACTGAGCTTCTTCTGGAGTTTGCCTACAGATATCACCAAAGGTATAAGATGGTTTTATGGATAGGAGGGGAAAGCAGGTATATTAGGCAGAATTATCTAAACCTCTGGTCGTTTTTAGAGGTTGATGTTGGGGTTGAAAATTGCATAGACAAAAGCAGGATAAAAAGCTTTGAAGAGCAGGAAGAGGCTGCCATATCTAGAGTCCGGAAAGAGCTAATGAGGAACATACCTTTTCTGGTGGTGATTGATAATTTAGAGAGTGAAAAGGATTGGTGGGATCACAAGCTTGTAATGGATCTTCTTCCCCGTTTTGGCGGAGACACCCACATTCTGATATCGACTCGCCTTCCACGTGTGATGAATTTAGAACCTTTAAAACTTTCATACTTGTCTGGAGTAGAGGCAATGTCATTAATGCAGGGAAGTGTGAAAGACTACCCTATTGCAGAGATTGATGCGCTCAGGATCATTGAGGAGAAAGTTGGAAGGCTAACTTTGGGCCTTGCGATTGTAGGCGCAATCCTATCTGAGCTACCAATAAATCCAAGCAGGCTACTGGATACCATCAACAGGATGCCATTGAGAGACTTTTCATGGAGTGGTAGGGAAGCTCTTCAATTTAGGAAAAACACTTTCCTCCTACAACTCTTTGAGGTATGTTTTTCCATATTTGATCATGCAGATGGACCAAGGAGCTTGGCTACGAGAATGGTCCAGGTGAGTGGTTGGTTTGCACCTGCGGCCATTCCAGTTTCCCTGTTAGCCCTAGCTGGACACAGAATACCTGAGAAACATAAAGGAACCTGCTATTGGAGAAAAATTTTGCGTTCCTTGACTTGTGGTTTTTCTTCATCATACTCGAAGAGATCCGAGGCAGAAGCATCTTCCATGTTGTTGAGATTCAATATTGCAAGAAGTAGTACCAAGGAAGGTTATGTCCATTTCAATGAACTCATCAAGGTTTACGCTCGGAAGAGAGGAGTTACTGGAGTGGCACATGCTATGGTTCAAGCTGTTGTTAGTCGTGGGTCACTATCACTCCACTCAGAACATTTATGGGCAGCATGTTTCTTGCTATTTGGATTTGGTAATGATCCTAAAGTTGTTGAGTTCAGGGTGTCAGAACTGTTATACCTTGTCAAAGAAGTGATTCTGCCTCTTGCAATTCGGACATTTATTACATTCTCTAGGTGCACTGCTGCTCTTGAACTCCTCCGGCTATGCACCAATGCTTTGGAGGCAGCAGACCAGGTGTTTGTTACCCCAGTTGAGAAATGGTTGGACAAATCACTTTGTTGGAGACCCATCCAAACTAATGCTCAATTGAATCCATATCTTTGGCAGGAATTGGCGTTATCAAGAGCCACTGTGCTAGAAACAAGGGCCAAATTAATGCTTAGAGGGGGGCAATTTGACATAGGAGATGACCTAATTAGGAAAGCTATTTTTATTAGAACTTCAATCTGTGGTGAGGATCATCCAGATACCATATCTGCTCGTGAAACTCTAAGCAAACTCACCCGGCTTCTTGCAAATGTTCATACTCATATTTCACCATAGATTCTATATTTATTGTTAGCAAATTTTGCATTATTATACAAAGTTTACAAATAAAACTCATGTAAACAATCCAGAGAATTTTTTATACTATTTTGACTTTGAATGAAATGCCCTACAGTTTTGAATTTACTCTTTTCTCCCTTGTCAGGAACGGGATCATCTAGACTGACTTTATTGCATCACGTGCTTTCCTAAGTTTCTTGTCATAATTAACTGTTTGATCAAGATTTTATAGCCTGTGCTTATAGATTGGACATTTGATTTACATTTGGGAGTTTAAAGAAAGAGGCCAAGGAATTATGGTGCATGTATCAGTCTGAGGCATTGATTCTTAAACCAAGATTTATCAGGTGAAGAGTAGCATCACTGGTAGCTATCTGATATTTATTAGTCTTTAACTGTTTGAGTTTTTTGTACAACTTGAAATATTCAATATTGCAATGTAATTTCTCTTGTTCAAACTATTCAAACATGGAGAGCCTGTTGACCAAGGTGAGGGCTTCTCACTCTCAAAAGGTTTATCCTTGTCTTTATGAATTTGCTGTTATATTTTCTAAGGGTGTCTCTCATTTTGATTCTGCTATGCTTTACTTCTTCTCTCAGGCCTCAAAGTTCTACGGCCTAATTGCACTGGCTAAGTTGAGAAAGTTAGCTTGTTAAATTCTAGGGCACATTTTTGTGTCTAGCATGGTGCATAACATTATAAGGTAGCAGGCTCCAACTCCAGCTACATGTTCATTGGTTTTATTCTTTTCTTAAATGATTTACCCATATTCAGGTTGACCTATTTAATTGTTGTCATGTTTTCTGTCAGGAGAAATTATCTGTTGAATTACATCTTTCATGCAGGTTTTTACATTAATGTTTTGAAATCTACTGATGCAACTTTGACAACTGATCACTCTGGAGCAAGGATGTTGGTTGCATCAATGAGCAGCCTCATAAAAGATGTGAAAAACTGGGACCTATATAGGACCGCAATGAGAACCTCACTATGGTATGTTCTTGCCAGGTTTAGTTCTTGTATTCTTGGTGCTAACATAATATGTTACCGCCTTTCTGTCTTGAATTTCTTTCTGTAGTTAAGTTTACACTTTTCTAATTGTTTTGTCTCTACCACTTTTTTTGGCCAGAAGTCTGAAGTCTCTACCATTTTTATGCGTGAAAGTTTGATCATGTAATCTGAATTTTGTTTTTAACCATTTAATATGCTCACATTTGGTCTTTGAGTGAAATAAAGATGAAATACTGATGATATTTGTAGGCCCTGGAATATGCTGGCTTGTCTGGTAACTATGTAGGTTTGAAAGTTACAGCATTCATTGAGGTTAGAAATATGAGCATGAATGATGAGAAGCATAAGATTTCAATCAAGTGTCAAATTTAGAGTCACTTTCATCTTGCTGTTTTTAGTTATTTCGTTCTTTGAAACAATCTTGGAGACAGAAATAAAGAATTAGACGTGTGGACTGGTTACAAAGAGAAAATACAGGCATGAATAATTCAAAGTGCATGTAATGTCCATTCTTAAGTTCTACATTTACTCTAACCTTTCTGTTTCTAGGTATGTCCTTTGCTACAATTATGGAGACAGGATAAAGAAATTATGTTCAGGTTTTATCATCCGACATCCTTTTCTTGAACACTGGAATTTCTTTAACATACTTGTGCTGGAAAATTTGTTGTTGATTACTTAATTGGTTTAACATCCACAAGGGCATTGCATGAAATGGTCGATCTTTTACTCTACTTCCATTCCAAGTTCATGGAGGATATACATGTTCGATTTTCCCACAGATTGGTTGATACTTGGTGTCGATATTAACGTAGTTGAAAATGGCCTACCTTGTCCGTGAATTATTTTTTCTGATTTCTAAATGGATTGGTCACCATAAACTATTGTGATTGTTTGATTTTCCTTTGGATTACTGGGTTTTATATTCAAATTTGGCTCAAAAGGTTTTGCCCCAAGAACATCTTCCATGGTGTTTTAATGCTTGATTCATTGATATCAAAACTCTTCAATTTTGACACAAAGTTCCTTTGTGGCAAATGTTTTGGCTTAATGAATTGTCTTTTTTTTTCTTGAAATTTGTGCTGCAGAGTGAATGACAACAAATCATGATTGTTGGAGCAATTCTTCCAGCTGCATAAGCAGATGTCGCAATACAAAATGCTACGGTAAAGATTTTCAGTAATAGTTTCTTTTGGTCATGTCTACGTGAGTTGCCATTTTCGTTTTTTCTTTGGGCGAGTTTGTGCGATGGTATAGTTTGTTGCTTGCATGCTATGTTACTCGGACTTGCCAATGAATGTTGGACACATGCATTCGGTACGGAACATTAATTTTTTCTTTCGTAGATTTTTTTTTCATATCCGTGGAGATTGAATCTTTAAATATTTATTTTTATTTATTTAAATTTTAAAATATTTACTTTCACTCAATTAAATCTTCAATTGAACAAAAATAATTAAACATTTTTCTTCTAAAAAAGGGTTCAATTAGTAAAAATAAATTTTGAGAGTTTAATTAATTGTAAAAAGAAAAAGATAAAAATTTAAATAATTATTAATTTTAATTCAAAAGTGCTTTTAACCTTTTCACAAAAAAATTATAGTTGAAAGGCTCCAACGCAAAACCTAATGGCAAGGCTTGATCATATTTTTTTGGGTAATTAATATTGTCAATAATTTGAATTTATCTTAAGTCTAATAATTTTAGATTATATTTTTTAACCCCATTTTTTTATCTATTTAATTTTTTAATTTTATACATAAATTAAATTCATTAAATTACTTTTTTAAAAAATAAGAATAAAAACAAATTAAATAATTAATTGAATAAGTTAAATATTATTTTTTATATTAAAAATCAATATTTTAAAATAATTATCTTATTTAAAAGCCGTTCTTTATAAATTTTTTTTATGGCCAAAAACAAGTAAATTTTTAAAATTAGATATATAATATTAGTCCAAAACAAAAAGGGCATTCAATGGAGGCACGTCTGTCCCCATATAAAAATCCGTAGGCAGACCCGTACTTCTCTTTCTCAGTTCTTTCTAGGTATCTTCTTTTTTACTACTTGTTTCTTGTAACCTAAGTAAAGACGAAAGCAGGGTTTTTTGTTGGCCAAAAACGAAAGCGGAGTTCCTTGGAACAAAAGAAAATCAAACCCAAAAAAATTTACAGTTTCTTAGAGCATATAGAGAAAAGCCCTGTTCTTGATTATTCTGGTTATTTTTCTTTTGAAGTTGGTTTTTTCGAGTATGGGATTTGCTGGTGATCAAGATACAAAGGTGGGTTCATCTTTGTCTTTAGATTCCTGTAGAAAAAGGAAGAGACGTGATGGTTTATCTATTGCTGACACTCTCAAGCTCTGGAGTGAAAATCCTGAGGCCAAACAAGCCCGTAAAGCGCCTGCCAAGGGTTCGAAGAAGGGGTGCATGAAGGGGAAAGGAGGGCCTCAGAATCAGACTTGTAACTACAGAGGTGTTAGGCAGAGGACTTGGGGTAAATGGGTGGCTGAAATCCGAGCACCTAATCGAAGGAAGAGACTTTGGCTTGGTACTTTTTCTACTGCTTTGGATGCTGCTATGGCTTATGATGAAGCTGCCAGGACAATGTTTGGTGAAAAAGCGATCCTGAATATGCCTCATGTTTCAGATTCTGACTCTGTTGCAACTTCTTCGGTTTCACACCCGTTTTGGGGGGCTACTACTACTTGTGCTGGTTATGACTCCATGACTGTTGCATCAAGCAACTGTGAAACTTGTGACAAATATGTGGGTGCTGAAGGTGAAACAACTAGGATCAATCTGGAGTTTCCTGTTGATTCTGAAGCTCCATCGACAAGTGGTGCAATGAATTTGACAGTGAATGAAGAAGCACAAGGCGTGAGCGATGCCAAGGAGGCAAACCCACAAGATGAGTGTATGAAGGAGACAGATTATAGCTGCCTTGATGGATTGAAGTTCTTTGATGATATTCCAGTGGATTTTGCAGGGCAGAGTGGCTGGTATGATGGATTTTATAATGAGGAGGAGGCTTTTAATATAGATGAACTTTGCGTTAACGTGAATCAGAGCTGGATATACAATTGGTAATGGGGCAATTATCCCACGGAAAATCCTGTATCTTTTGGTAGTTTTGGTAATTATTACAAAGTTCAACAAATTTTCTACTTGTCTCAATTATTGCACGAGTAGTTCATTTTTTAAGAAATTTATAATTTTTTTGTTCAAAAAATCTTAGAGCTGTAGCGGATCCAGATATTGTAATATCAGGTTGAAAAGTGTTTATAATCAAAGCCTAAACAGACAAAGCTTTCAATTTCGTAAACTTCGATGAATTATTTGTTAATATATTAAATTTTTATTCATGTATTAAATTTAATAAATAATTCTAAATAACATTTTCATATTTATTTATTAAATAAATTAAATACGAATAAAGATCTATTTAATTTGATTATGTTTGTAAATAAATTTATTTAAAATTTATTTAAAATTCGTTCATTTATTATTTATTTACTGTTTATTTATAATAATATTAATAAAATTATATTTTTACTTTTTACCTTAATCTTGTTCTAAAATTCTTTTATATTTATTTGTTTAAGTTTATTTAATTATATTCATATATTATTCATGAATATATTCATTTATAAATATTTACGAACATGTGCATTTAATATTAACAAGTGAATTCGTCTAACTTAATTGAACGAATATAAATCAAATGCGAACAACTTATTATTTAAACGATCGAACATAATCAAATAAAATAATTTTCTTAACAAATATAAACTGAACATGAAAATACTAAAAATAAACAAATAAATCACAAATATATATTCGTTCATTCATATTCGATTCGTTTCCAGCACTACATAAATATTTTACTTCGTTTCGAGCACTACATAAATATTTTACTATATCAACAAAAACTGATCGATTATATGCCATTAAACAGTCAGTGTCGATCCCAACTAAGTGTTTACTCTCCTTTCCACCACTTCAACCCCATCCCTTCACCACAAGCTGGCCTCTTACAAATGGATTGGCGAGAAAAACCTGTGGTGTGAGTGACATTACCCTATCTGTTTGTTAGCCGTGTACTTACCTATGATGTACGACATGTAACTTTGTGCAGAAACTGAAACCCGCAATGCACTACTTATATTAGAGATGCAAAATACATTGCAAGGCTTCATACCGTATATCTTACTGCCGCCTGGAACGCGTCTCACCATGAAACATTGTGTTTGATTTCAGCATCTTCTTTGCCAAATTACGAATATCTTCTCGGCTGGATTCCATTGATATCCGTCGTACCTCTTGTAATCCTCCACTGGATGTAAAATCCTCAGCATTGTCCTCTGCAAGAGGCAGCAGATTGGGTTATCCTAAAAGTGGCTGATAAGTGTCATCAATGAAAATTGGCCAAACATTCAGTCTAGAATCAAAGAATTATAAAGGCTCGACTTTGGGAGTCTAAGAGGCATAGTGGAATACAGATGATTACCACCAGCATATTTCACAATGGAATCAGATTTTACTAAGTACATGTTCTGTCGCAGATTTCACATTAGCTCAAAATATCTAAAGTACATCAGAATCAAAATGTTGCCACGCATAGAATTCACAACCCTAGAACTTTGTTTACCATTTTGTGCTAAATGACAAAGGGCCAGCTCAACGTGACGTCTGGTTGAAGCTGATGCAATGTTACAGTTGGCAATCAACCATTCAAATGCACCATCTTCCATTAGAAGTGAACGGCCTTTGCGATGTCCTGCAGCAACCGAAGTTCATTATAATCATGAGAGATGATGACCTACATAGAATATCTACTTCATACAAGGACATGGATGAACCTTGAACAATTGCTCGGGATTCGCATTTAGCAAAGTTAGCCATTCCTCTAGCAACCTGGGCAACCACATCACTGTTCCCTGATCTAACCATTCCCAACAATGCCTTGATGCCTCCATCTTCTGTCAGCATTGTGTGTAATTTTTCTGTTGAACAATATAACATCCAAATTGAACATAAATCCACCTGATGATTAACTTCCCTTTTCAGTAAGATCAGTTTCTTAATTTGGATCAGGTATATTGTGAAACATACTGATGCTTAAAAGCATTTCATGATCTAAGAAGATGGATTCCACGGTCAAAGAACTACATTTGAACAAATGGATACTAACCTAGGTGGCACCAACCAGTCAGTTAAAGCCTCGGCTCTAGGCAAAGGTCAAATATTCGAACAAGCAAACCTTTGTAACAGTGCACACTAACTTACCAACAATCCCTATACTCCATCCCAATCCCCTCCCATTCCCATCCTCTTCTCTTTGCCCAAAAAAGAATTTTACCAGTGCACCAGATAAAGGAAAGAGGCTTACCATTTCCACATAAATTGGCAAGTGCACCAGCTACCATTCTAAGAGTTTGTGGATCGTCTGTTTTGGAAGCTGTCTTTGCTAGTAACTGAGCACCTCGTCTGCTCATTATTAGACCTTGATTCATCTCTGAGGACAATTTGAAAATAAATTAATGTAGCGAGTCTTTGATACATTATGGAGGAGTTAAAGGTAGTTATTGATTAAATGACACATGTTAAATTCGTTTTACCATTTCCATTTCAAATAACTAGTTTAAAGCATTTCAACATGGAGATAATGCATCAATGAGATTATGGTCAGAATTTTCCTCAGCAACTGTAAATTTGGAGTGGAAAACTATATTTATTAGAATATTCAAATATGTTATACTTGTTTTCATAAGCCTCACCTTTCAACTATATTGACATATTCCAATCATCAGAAATACATGATACAGCAAGTTAATTCTATTTTCTAAAAAATATAAATTTCTACCCAGTCTTTATTAAACTTAATCACATAATGGGAGCTAAAATCAATCACTAATCATAAATCCACATTCAAACACGACAACGATTGAGGACCAGTATTTCAGGACTTAATCCACATGCAACTTACTAGTTTTCTTTTTTCTTTTTTTGCTAAATGTTTTTAACTACTAATTGAAAGTTTTGTTTATCCTTAAAGGAATCAGGATATACCAGATTCGCCTGAGAATTTTTTTTTTTAAAGATATTTCCAGGAATGAAAGTGGTGATGCTCAGTTCACAACACGAAAAAAGAGTATTATATTTTGCTGACATAGTTCCAATATTATGGGCCATTAAAAATAGAAGAAATCATGACTATTAACAGCTTTGCATGGACTAGATATGTATGTGTGCTAATTCTTCATATGACAATGCATTGCCATCTATTAAAGTAATATATGTACATATATGTATGGAACTTTTTGGATAAAGGGAAGGAGATTGAATCCATCATAGATAACCATTAGCCAGATTCAGAGTGCATAACATGCCAAGGGAAGATAGGGAGTCAGAATTACCATTCATTGCCAAATTGGCAATGGCCCCGGAAGCCACTCTGAGTATAGTAGCATTTTGAGATAGTCTCAACATTGAAAGCAGAGCATCTAGACCACCTTCTTCCACAATCTTCTCCTGATTAACATCTGCAGAATATAAAACCTTAATCAATACCAAGTGTTCAACCAGAGGGAGATAACGTAAACTTTCAAAGCAAAGAAGGAAGAAAGAATGTAGAGATGGAAAAAGAGACAGGAAAATAGCTGGGTAGTAAAATGAATTCAAAAACACAAAATCCATCATAAGATTGTCCAAACATGGTGGAAAAGAATGCGACAATTTATTTAAATCCAATCAGAAGGCATATTGTACTCCACCTTCAGCAGCAAGATTGGCTATCACTTTCATAGCATGGATTTGCACATCTGAGTCTTCAGAAGCTAACAATTGTATTATCTTTTGAATGCCAACTGAATTTAAGAACCAAAATCATGTAAATCAAGATTTCTCATTGATTAGGAGAAATATTTTGATAATATAAGGTTTTATTAAAGCAGAAGTTTTGCCTTCTTCACATATCTTTGCAACTGTAGCTCTCTGAGCAGATTGTGTTTCCCTTAATGGGCCTGCCTTATTGAGACTCACTGAGGTCCCAAACACTGAACTTTCTCTGATATTTTCCTTCATATATGATTTCTTGTCCTGCGGAACATGATAGAGTAAGACCATAAAGCAATAATAATGAATGCAAAGTAGAAAACATACAAACAACGTACCTCAAATTCTTTATCACCTTCAGGTGCACTTTTTTTAAGCTTTACCAGCTCATGTTCAATAGTCTTCCTCTGCTTCTCTTCTGCTGACAGTTTTTCTTTCACAGCATAAAGCTCTTCAGTAATTGTTTCCTATACAATACCAATTTATTTGGGGGAAAAAAGCATTAAGGGTAAAAGTAAAACTTCAGGTAGCAACCAACATTGACAGTTCCTCTAGTTCGGAACTGCTGGATGCCCGCAGTGCGAACAAACTGGAACTAAAAGTTACATGCGCAGGCATGTGCATACATATGCATGCATGCACACCAATCATACCTTCTCTTGAATCTGATCTTTAAGTTTTGCTTTCAGGGATTTTAGTTCATTTATAGTAGATTCATGCATCTGATACATTTCTTGTAACTTCAATCTCAGTTCACTGATTTCTTCCTGCTCCTGGATAACACAAGAAACCAAGGGAATAGTGCATAAAAGTGTTCAGAGAGTAAGTGAATCACTTCTAACAAAGCCAATAAATCATCTGCGGCAGATTAATGGAAGGAAAAGAAATTTCAGGAAAGTTTAACTGCTCAAAAAGACTAGACTGCTATTACATGCAACAAAGACAACGAGATAAATTTGTACAATTTACAATGGCATGAAGTCTCTGACTCTCTCACAGGGCCAAAAATATATCTGTGAATCTATGTTGTCTAATACACACAGCAACTACTGAGGTTTCAGGTAAAAAAATAGCTGGCCAAACTGGGAACATATCATGTCTTTTTAATCATGCTCTATTATATTACATCCTAATGACTAAAGAAAAGTTTCAGCTCTAGACATGGGGACTCTGATTGAAGAGTGTTCTAAAGTGGGGGTGAAAATGAGCCACACCATACAGATTGAAGATTTCAGAATGAGAGCAAACGAACAATAAAACTGCTAGCAAGTCTTCTTTGAAATTTCATATATTCAGAAACAGAAATCCTTATACCCATATATTGCCAAAAGTTAAGATGCCTCAATTTTCCTAAATATATTTATAACTAGCATGGAGACATCAAATTCATTAGGAACTACAACTTATGCAACAATTTGCATGTTACAAGGCCACTACATGCAATTGGCCCTGCCTAACAGTTAAGGAAATTTTTAAAATTATTTTCC